CGGAGCGTGTACTCGAGGGAAATAATGGAAGCATAATAGAAACTGGATCATAGATAATACATTCGCTCGTAGCGTGGACGCGATTGGAGATAAGGTTGAAAATCGTCCTCGCGCTTCGTACGTATACGTCGGCCGTGATACTTTCGCGTGTCACCACGAGGATTATTTTCATTAGCAATCGTTTATTCGACTGCAATCTCACCTGCGATCACGTAATATCGTCCATGGTACACGTAATATTTTTATTCGACCGTACATCGGCTCGTTGTGTAAGTTTGTTTTCGTTAGGCTCGCGAAACTTTCCGAACATCCCGAAATCGACTGACAAAAATGCCAAAGGAACCTCTCCTTAACCTTTTAACCGGGGATGACGAGTTAACTCGTGATAAATCATTTGGCAGTACGCGCGTTCGGTAAGTCAGCTCCTCGATTAAAAGGTTAATTCAACTATCTATTTCTTGCTAAATATTTTTCTCCGCTCTTGAAGAATTTTCGAAATAAATGAGAAGAGTGACGAGTTACATGCTGTTGACGAATGTCTCGTCTGTCCAAAAAAAGAGAACGATACTTGGAAAAACGAAATGATAGGAATGGAAATACCGGTGTGTACTTTTAATTAGCTTGTGTTTTTTTTGTACTTTTAAATAGGTTGTTAGTCGGCTAATTGTACGCGCGATCGTTTACGCCGCAATTACTTTAATTCTTCCTTTACTTAGCGATCATTTCTGCTGAGTTTCACTCCCGGGATTATTTGAGAAGTTTTATTTTTATCGAAGTCTCGTTAAATATTTGTGGAGCAATTAATCATTCAACTTCGGATCTGAATCGACTCGATTTTAATATTCATAAGTACAAATTCGTGGAATCGGTACGCTAAGTTTCCGAGATAAGCTCTAAAAGCGTACGAAATTCCATCGTTTATCGTTGTTTCTCTTACTACACAGCCGCGGGTAGTAAATTTTTATTCTGTAAACAGATGTAAAAATCACTCGTCCTGATTTTTCTATCCGTAAACATCGTAGCCTAGGCTACGAAACTTTCGTAGCCAATTATGTATGCGTCAAGATAATGCCTGGAGGTATTTTCATGGAACGGCGGTGTTTCGCCGACGATGATGGCTCGTTCGAACGTAAAAATTCATCGAAACTCCGGGCAGCTCAAAAACAGCTGACGCCGCGTACCCAGCCGGTTGTAATTGCGTTATTATGCGTACGCCTCCTTGAGACGTCAACGCGGGAAAGGCGCCATCGTTATTGTTCTTATTATTTCGTGTAATCATATTTTGAGCGGTGCGATGTCGATATCGTTGCCTCTTGTTTTTGTACGAACCAAAGAAAGAGTAAAAACAGAAACGCATTCTCATTTTACGCTCACGCTGACACGATTTTGTTCAATCAGTCTCGTTAAAAATACATCTTTTTCTTGGTCGGCCTCGTTCACGAATCCATCGCGACCGAGCGGAGCCGAAACCGTCCGCGTCTCGTCGCTTCGGTTCGCGCAATCAGCCGGCAATAAAAACGAACGATCCTCGTTAAATGCGCTGTGTATGTTCCTCTCCGTGTTTTGCTCTCCTCTCCACCTGTTAGACGTCTCTGCTTTTTCCTTCCGCTATCTAATCGCTATTGCGGCCGATCGGCCGTTCATAAAATCGTTTTCGCGAAAACGCAGCGAGAAACTTTTCTATTCGCGACAATAGAACGATTTCATTGACGGATATAATTACACACCCGGTTATAATAATCGTGTGTTATTATAGCTGTCGCGGTAAACATCGATTCCACTGCAAAACATCGGCTATTTACCACGAAAATATCGTCGACGGTATTTCAGTGAGGAATAACAAGACCGCGAGCTAAAGCGAAAGGTAATTCTTTTGCCAAGAATCGGGTGTGTCATCTGTAGAAAAGATACGGGAGAAGAAAGGAAAAGATTGCGAGCATTCGGTTTAGGAGGCGCAAATATTTTTCAACTCGGTCTTGCATACAGGCTCGTTACGTCAGTGAAATCCGCGAACTCCGCTCGTAAATGCGATCTGTGCGAATGTAAACACGTGTCCCTATTTTTCCTTTAACTAATCTACGTTACTAATATTTGCGTGCCAACCGGCTTCATTTATTGCTGTCTTTTACGATCGTTTCTTCTTCTTCTTTTTTTTTCACGAGCAGAATAATCGCCAATATTCTTTTTTTCTTAAAATCAATCTCCTACTAGAAGCTGCCTTTTCGCGATCATTACGCGATCGTAAAGTCGATCCTTGATAACGTATACACATGGAAATAGAGACGATTTTAATTCATTTAACGCGTTCACTGCCATCGGACGATCGCAACACAATCACCGGAATCGTTGATCCATCTAAAACACATGTTACATAAAATGATATAAAAACGTTTCATTGGTTGAATCTAAATAAAGAAACAAAATAGATAGCGTTAGTCGGTCAGCGACAAAACCAGTGAAGTTCGCGATCCATCGATGCTCGATACCCTTTTGACTCCTCCGCGTGCTCGAAACTTTTCCAAACCGTTCGACGCCTTCCGACTTCGAGTGTTTACAAAAAGAAAGAAGGAAAAAACGAACACTCGGTTACACGAACCTTCCGATAACACTGCTCGAATGTTTTGACCGAATCGTGCTTCGATCACTAATCAGTTGCGATTCGCGGGTGGTCTAAATCGCGTATAAGTATCGAGCAAAGTAGACTTTCATAGAGAAAATGGCGTTACGGTACGTTAATGTACTCCAATTTCACAAGTTGCAATTGATAAGAAGCAAGACAAATAAAAAAGAGTCACAAATAAATGACAACGAGTTCGTCAAAGTGTTAAACAACCGTGTGACGTAGTCCCGGTGAACGGTGTTCTTTCACCTGTGTGCTTTTTTCGATGGCTCATTATCGGTGCGCATGACGCACGGAGCCGCGTGGCTGCACGTGCAACAACGTTTCGAAGGAAAACAGAGGCCGGTAACGAGGACAGTAAGGAGAAAAAAATATTTTCGTTTTTTCGGCCACGGCGTGGCGCATCGCGTTACAAGTTGTCTGATACGGAGACGCGAGTTTATACCTCCACGGGTCTCGTCATCAGCGTGGCAAACAAACGTTTTATCGCCGGGATTATGCCTGTGCCTCGCGAATCGTTTCAGAAATTTTCGCCAAACCTCCACTCGCTGAAAGTCTGCCTTCGATAACGCGGTGATAAGGATCCTCCATTTTGGACCACGCGGAATGCTTTCGATCGCCGGATGCGCCAGATGCTTTGAACAAAAGGTAGTCTAATGAAAATGACTTTCGAAAAATCGAATAATTAATTTAAAAATTATTTCGAAGTTTAATTTCAAATAATCATTTTTATCTAGTGCTTGAATTATCCGAACAAAACAATCACATCGGTAAGTAGATATTTAAAATCAATGATCGATTAATCATCGATACAACCGCATCTATTAATAATAATCGTCCGGCACGTGTGCATTTGAAATCAACTTTTAAATTCACCGATTAACAAGCTGTTTACATATCCTCTTAATCGCTAATGCGTGGCAATTATTATTCTTATCCAATTCACCAACAAACATTTCTCTCTTATCTAATACATACATGTAAAGGAACAGCGAATGTTCTCCTTTTTAAGCGAATCGATTCTTCTTTATCGAAGCATTCGTAAGCGGATAATGAAAGGTGAAACGAGGTGGCAAAGTCGAAGACGGACATATGCAAGCGTCTTTTAATTACCCTCGATCTGATCGCGTTAATCATCCGTGTAGCAGTTAGCTGTCGCGCGGAGAGATTTGGCGACAGGGTACGAGCGCCGCGAGTCCCGGATCCTCTGGCCCACCTAACGACCCTGCCAAAATTCATTTGGCACTGGCAACGGTAAACATTGAGACGACGTTGAACAATCGACCACGATCCAACAGTCGAAGGTGCGATCACTTTGCTCGCACGTCGCGATTCCGCCGTTCTTCGCCTCGATTTCCTCGTCTTTCGCCGCGAAAGTTGACGCGTTCGATATTCAGTGAAACGATCGGGAAGCGATGCGCGTCGATCGATCAACGGTCGCGACTCGCTCGATCAATTTAAGCGGATTACAACGAGCCTCTTTTGTAATCCTCGGATAGACGGGCCAGCCTCGATAATTCGTGATCGATCCGTCATCGTCGCGGACAGACTGTCGCATCGAACAAAAGCAAAAAGAGAGTGAACGGACATTAGCGAGCGCGGAAACGCGAGAATACTGTAACGATCTATTTTCTCGCACGACCCTGACATTAATTCGAGGTACCGAACGGCCCGGACAAATTTCAGAAGTCCCTAAACCTCGGTGGCGCCTTTCGTCGAGTTGCTCGTTTCTATTCGTTGCGTAATGTGCACGTAAATAATCGACGCACCGTTCTTACGCGCTATTATTAGAGAAGACTAGACGAATCGTTTATTCGAAAGGATCCGCTCGACGTCGCATAACTAACTCGCGAATCGATCACTGACTTACGAGAGAGCACAGCTGCGCGCCGAAACGTTAGCTTTCGTAATCGAGCACTCGATATCGCGGAAACGATTTTTCTTAATTTTCTTAATTAAAAGAAAGCGTAGAGTAAGGGTGGGCAAATAGCGGCCCGCTAAGAGTTTTTTTTTGCCCGCCAAGACAGTCAGAAAAATCCACCTTGAACCGAGATTTCCCTCCCGTACGCGACCGAAGATTCGTCTCGTATCCACTAGGACGGCCAAGTCAATACATTGATTTTTATGGTACAATTTATACTTTACTGAAATGCAAAGTTAACTAATGAATGCAATCATTTTAAAAAGTGCGGCCCTCCGCTAACCTCCGCTTCCACAAAGTGGCCCCCGAGTCAAAACAATTGCCCACCCCTGGCGTAGGAGTGTTCCACGTACCTCTACGCTTACTCTTAACCTTCTTTACTAAATTTTGATGATTGCAACGGTGCAACGACATTCGAGTCGTAAATCGACGGAGCGCCATAGATACCAGGCGAGAATTGCATTATAAATGGACTTTGTGCTCGTGCACATTTTTTCGTCGAAAGGCTATTTACACGAGCCCGGCTGCAACCACATATATAAAATGGTTGTTGTTTGTCCGTACGATTAAGAACAACATAACAGATTGTTACAATCCGAACTGTATCTTTCCTCGAGCAGTTTATAATAAACACACGTGCAGGGATTCGAAGATAAATAAATACACATATTTTTGTCGGTAGCGTCTAAAACAGCAGATTAACGATTGCACGCGGTCGAGTATCGCGATTCCTTTCGTTTGCGTGTATGCCTCGAAGATAAGCCCGAGATACTGCCGCTCTAACTGCCGAATTTATAAAGCCGATAATTGTATCACTCTCAGGGATGGGATCGAGGATTAAATAATTTTTCACGCTCTCTTGGTTAAAGATTGAAATAAGTTCAGATTTATTGTCAATTGAAATAGAAAAGAAGAATGTTTAACAAAATGAAATAAATCTAGAGGACTGCTGATCGGAATAACCGACTATCCTTTATAATAAAGGGTGGGGTACGATGAGCATAAGTATGCTTGGATCGGATCTCTGGTAAGCTGGTTCCTCGTTCGGTTACAAAGAGGCTCGTTCGTTCCCTTCGGCGCAACTAAACACGGTCAGACGATTCGCAGACGTTCGTGTTTGTCGTTGTGTGTATATACATATGTATGTACATCAGTTTGCCCCTTGGCTCTTTCACGTGCACCTTATCAAAGGATCGCGTGGCCGAAGTTCGAGCTCGGTACGCGGGTATTAATTAAGCGGCGTGATTTCGGAAATTCCATCACTGCCCGGCCGTTCGTCGTCGCCTTTTGAATGGAGTTCGAAGATCGACCAAGTCCGGCCACGAATGATTCACGCAGCCTACGCGATTTACTATATTGTTGTAAGTGACCAGGCGGTCATAAACAGCCGATAGACGGTACAAATACTTTTTTCCTCCCTTTTCTTTTTTTTTTTTTTTTCATTTTATTTTTTTATTTATTACCAGACGGCCATGCCTCGTATTATCGGTCACCACGATACAAGCTGGCTCTCCTTTTCCCTCTTTTATCGTAGCTTCTGTTCGCCTCTTTGTTTCCGTATAGCCGCGCAGCCACGCTTCGCGCTTTATCCGCATTGTTCCTCTCCCACACGTTTTCCTTGCTATTCTCTTTTTCTAATTGCATTTCTTCCGTACGTCGACTAGCAGCCGGTTTCTCCTCGATTAATCCCTTCCTCTCCTTCTGTTTTTTCCATTCATGCGAACTCGACCAGACCCTGTTTGTTGCTTCAACTTCGCGCTTCGACTTGGAAAATTACCGCGTTCGACGCGCCTGCTCGATTTGCTCACATTTCTTCCCGTTGTTTCTCCGATTTTTCTTCTTTTTTTTTACTTAATGCTACCATAGCGTTAACATTGTTTTCAATAAACCGCGGTCTATTGTCGGATCGATTGATTCTGGGGAGAAGGGTAAATAAAATACTCTCGCTCAGTTTATCTAGCGGGATAACATATATTTGATAATTGTACAAAGCGCCTGGCTAACCGACGCTATTTTTCTGCGTACACGGTAAAGTTCCTTAAGAAATTGCTGCTGTTTCTCCACTCTACCGGGGCTATATACCCTGTCCTAGAAAAGGACAGGGAGCACGCCATTTCCAGCACAGGGGCGCGAAGAAACCCCCTCAAAAGTTGGAGTCCCTGGCTAGAACAATACTTCGTATCACTTATTGTTAGCCTACTTATTGTTAGCCAGACTCGCACAAATAAAAATAAAATTTTCTAAAAATACATTTTGGACGCTGCAATTCGTTTGGAGTAATTGGCGTGCCTCGGTAAGCCATGCGTTAAAGGAACAAATACGTCTGTATAACAGTTAATTCCTTCGAAAAGCACCCCCTTTGCGATAGAAAAATTTGATCGACAATGAAAAACAGTATATACCCGAGCAATATCAACATCGTGATTATCTCGAGGGGGTTAAACGCTCCACGGCTGAATTTTTCCCATTTACACGAGCCGAAACGATCGGAGCGTTAAATGGCTCGATTCGTAGGTGGCGGTGAACCCCAGCCGCGATAAGGGACACCAATTAACCGTCGAATACCATTTCCGAGCGGAGGAATTAAAAGTTCGTTTAAAATGCCATTGGAAGGGGATGATTTATAAATTAACCCTCGCCGCACTGATGTTTGCCAGAAATGTATAGAGTTCCTTTATACGAAATTTTTTCTCAATGTTTCTATAATTCACCTGCTTCGATTCAATAAGGGGTTATTGTCGAAAGTGAGCCTTGGGGGGTTAATAACCCGCTCTGCCGTTCCAAAGCTTCAGCTTATTCCGGCAGTGGTAAAAGGTGCAAATTGCGCTAAAATAAAATATCCACTTCTCAGCAGCTACCACCCTCCAAGTGGCACAGGGAAAGGATAAACTGTCCACTCATTGGCTTGCCAATCATTGTGTTCGGATCCAGGAAGATACACCACTTGATTCTTTGTCGACGTAAGGAATGTTGATATTGGGACGAAAAAGCTAACCTGAGTCGGTTAGCGACTACACCCATCAGGCGCCTTACGCCCATATTCAATAAGGGGTGCCCTATCACAACCAAGTGCACCCTAACTAAAGGATTAAATGTCAGGACGGTGGTAGTAGGACTTTAACCGCGTCGCGAGTAGCCGCTGTTCGTCTGTTAACAGAAAACACTCGAGCATGTTTGATCGGGTCACTTGTACTCTCTCCTTCTTCTCTGTACAGCCATTTTCATTCTGTTCTGTGTACGTACACGGCACGTACAATGTAAATCGATAAAACGTCGGGTCGGTAGACTTTTATCGGTACACCTTCGCTTCGTAACGCACTATCGATGCCGATAGGCCGATTTCCCTCGAATTCCCGACTAATTAGTCACGTAAGCGCTAGATCCTGCAATCGGCGATCGCTCTGGAATTCAACGATCAGATCTTGACGCGATTGCGAGCCATGAACGTCGATCCGTGGCATGGTTCGAGTTCTGTTCTCTCGCCAGGCGATCTGGTTGCCTGATAAACACCAGGACGGACAGCAAACGTTCAGTTACCGAGTGAAAACTCGCGCCAACCGAGAAGCCGATTAATCGAGTTGACGCCCGCGAACCCTCTCTTCTCATCCCCTTCGCCCCTTGCCCACCGCCACGGTTCGGTCAAACACGGAATATTAAATTGAAATTCGCTAACGACCCCGTCACGATGTTGCTACCTTCGCGAGACTCGATATTAGAGAGGAAATTACAAGCCTCGCCGTGGAGCAACATTGTATGGAACACTCTTATTTAAGAGTGAGACCGACAGGAAAATAAATAGGGGAATTTGCATCTCATCGCGAAGCAGATTCGTGGAAATTAGAGTAATTTCAAGCGTGTTGGATATCGTAACGGCCCCGTCTGGATGGCTGTTAATAATAGTCATTTAATGCACCCCCTAAATATACACCGTCGAAAAGATGAAAGTCTTTAGCCTTCGCGTTAATATTTTCTCTGTCTTATCCTGTTGACGATATCGTGTACTTGTACAGCATGCAAGGTATTGCTGTAACAAATAAGAAAAATTATTGTTACCTTTCCTTTCGCAGTGTGGAACGATTGAAATCATTGCTTCATCAACGTCGACGTGGTCGCTCCTTTATTTGCCAGGTGTCCGCCGTTCGCTTGCGCATTCGTTAATTAGACGATCGTTTATTTCACCGAACACAACTGTTTTTCTTCCCCTTCGGATCCAACAAAGGCGAGCTGGTTATCGGTGCGATCGTTTAATCGCGGTATCATTATGGCACGCGCGTCGAATGACGCGACACTGCACCTTGCTCGTTTTCCACGTTGCTCATCCGCGGGGACTACGCGCGATGTTACGCTTGAGAAAGGTATGTCGCGTCGTTTCCTAGCGAAACACTCGGCTACGACTCGCATAACAATCGTCTATTTGATAAACGATTAATCATCGGTATGAGTTTCCAGCTCGTTTGTCCAAGACAAAGGAACAAGAAAGTGATTGCTCCAAAGTGATCTTTGTTTAACCCTTTCGATTTACTTTAAAATTGATACAGATATTTTAGTTTGCAAGTTAAAAGGGATGTATCGGTTTTCGATTTTTTTGATCGCCATCAGGGAAATAGCAAATGAATTTTTCCTGTTGGCGGCTAGTTAGGTGGTTCGCTCGCAAGAAGCGAGAGGAACAAGAACGACAGCCATTCTTCGGCGATTAGTCACTCGTGACCGATTTTCCAGTGGTTTTCTGGCACCGACATTAGCGCAGCAAGATCGTACTAGAAGATGCACCGTACGTTCCGTTTATATACTGGGTGTGCCAAAATACATGCTTCCGCATTCAGACGAGCCATCGCTCTGCTTAACGACAACCTCCTTTTCTTTATTTTCCCCATTTGCAATTCGCTTTATTTTCCAACAAAGTTTTCTTCGTTTTATTTCTCAAATTTTTATACAAATTAATGATTTACCTGGTAACAATGCAAGCAAGTTTCATTTTATTTTTACATCCCACGTGTTTCAGAAAAAATGGTAGAAAATTCATTGCGCATAGGAAAGATCGTTATTTACCATTAAGTTCAAACGACGAAAGTTCTAAGGACACATTTTTTGCATGATTCGCGGATGCACGTTGATATACGCATGCCGGATATCGATGTAAATTTTTTTTTGCATCGGATAAACAAGGCCGCACGTGTCGCAATTTTTCCAATTACTTTTACATATTTACACAATTATGTATTTTTTTTTTTTATTGCTTTACATGCGACATGTGCACGAGCAGCGTTGGTAAACATAAGCAATCTTATAATAGCGTTAAATCTAAACGTTATACAACCGTGGCGTACTTTAACCGCCACGTTTTACGTGCAATCACGTATTGTAACCTTGAAAGCGCATCTAGTCTCATTAACTATTCCATTGTTAGATATCACCTTGCATTCAACGATCGAACTCTGACAATGCAAAGAATCTGAATACGTATTCCTCTATAATTAATGCACTTATCTTTCTTTCTTCAAAATCAGCGGTAATTAAAATCATTCTTTTTTGTGACGCAACAGATGCGCCATGGGGTTTGGCAATCATTAACCCTCGGACGACGGACCATGAAGAGAGCCCCAATTGTAATTTCATTTTTATTTTCTAAATTTTACACTGTTTCTCTGAAAATGATTCTTCCGCACTTCTTTGTACATGTTTTGTAAGTTTGGATCGCGATTGATCCAGGCTCCACCGTTGAAGGATCAACAGCTGTTGACGCCACTATAGCGTCATCTTGGGATCGGGAATCAACGATGACGTTATTTTACTCGTATTTAACCGTAACTACGTTATTTCGGAGGCGAGGATCGAGCGAGAAACGACAGCATCGGTGACTCCTCTCTCGATCGTGCAAACAATGATTCGACTATTCTGAACGGCGTGTATATTTCAGTATTCGGCGGCCTTCGCCTGAGCTACCAGGCCTCGACAAAGAGAAAGGGAGCAGTAGAGGGGAAAAAAAGGGAACAAGGATTTGTTTTCATTGACATACCAGAGCGGAGCTCGGCTCGTTTCGCAAAAATCTATTTTCGCGCGCTAATTATGTAGCGCGGCAACGCGTCACGAGGCTTCTCGTGTCTCTCCGGCTATGTATTTTGCCTTCTGTGCCGCCAGTTGGTCGGCGACGGATGGTGTTTACACTGCGACGAGGCACTGGAGCAAACGATCACGATAATAACGTTCCTAAGTTCGATGACTGCATGACATATTCAATGGAAACCTCCCATCGGGATAAAAGGTTTTCCCTCTTTCCTTTATTTATTTATTCCTTCTTCTTTTTTCTTTTACCGAAGACGATCCACCTCGACCAATGCACATTGCGCTCTTCTTTTTTTCTTTACCTGTCTCGTCTGTGCGGATCCTTACGCCGTCGAGCTATCGACCGGTGGAATCTTTTCGTGATTACCAACTGCAAACAACCAACTGTTCTTTTCCCGAAAAACAATTTTTATTCTTCGAATTTGATAAACGTCCATATATACCTCCTATGATTAAATACCCCTTTAAGGTTGCGGAGGGTGTAAATATTTTGTAGACCGGTCAGTCGATCAAAATATTCTTTAGTCATAGATGATTAGACGGGCAAAGCTTGTACCGCGGCGATATAACAACTGGTAATTATTCATTTAAAGAAACGATAATGCCCCTGATTCGCGGAAGAGTCAACAACTGCGAAACCATTCTCGGTATGCTGGACTTTGTCATTCCGTCACATTCAATCTCTCTGGTTTACAAGAACGCCGTTGCCTCGTATGCGAACGTGTAAACAAGATATTAACGGTTGAACCGTTGAACAACAATATTGTTAAATGGACCAGTCACGAATTATTAATCGGTCTCAGCCGAGCGCGGCCGTAAGTGTTGTCAAACGTTGGCAGACCACGCATTTGCGTGCAAACGACGACGGATACCGTAGTTTTCGAAGCACTAACAAATGAACCGAGATTTGTGAAACGAATGACCGTCGTCAACGATACGCCTAATCATTCGTCAACGTTTCGGTTCCGAACGAGAGATAGTAAAAAGAAACTTAAAACCGCGTCAACGATTTGCAAAGTTATAAAACTTGTTCGATAAGCAGAGAAAAAAAAAAACGCAGCAACGCTATCCATCGGGTATCGATAAAGATCAAAGAAAATTCTAAAAACATTGTTGCATGACTGTATGTCAGTCCAACTGTTCATTTTGATCAAGTCACGGAAATAAAATTTGTCGAATATTTTTTTGCAACGCTTCGTTCCGATAATGTTTTCGTTTCCCCTAAAACAGTCGTTGTCAATTTGATAATTAATTTTATCGCGCGATACGTCTCGATTTGCCGTGACACGGCGCCGCGCAGCACATCGTTACACAATTCCATTGTACAATATTTGACGTGCGATTTGTAGATACGCGTACGTTCGTGCGTACACAATGAAAGAGTACCGTGCGGCTGGTGTACTGCATTCTTCAGATTATGACTGGACTACTTTTTCAAAGAACGCGTGGCGATAAAAGATTCTTTTTTATCAGCCCGTTGCGTGTTCGATCATATCGGGCAAGCCGTGATCGCGTTATCGCTAGCCGATTCTTGAAATTAGTATTGATCGATAGGTATCAATAAAAATAACAGCTTCCTTCCCCAAAATTCGTGACACGCAGGTGTATTATATCAGGAATGCTCATGTTTACGTACGAGAGGAATGTACAAAGCTGTCAGAATGATCATTCGAGATTGGACTCCAACGAGCGTTAAACGTTATACATAGAATCGTCGTGTTAACGAGAAACGCGTATGTCATTCTTTCGCATTCAAGGCGGGATGAATAAACGTAAAAGGAGTCTTTAAAAGGACACGCATTTAAGTGGCCAGGGAAGAGGGAATGCTAAGTGACAGGGCAAAGAAGAATACTGTGGAAGGCATTCGTCGGGATAGTTGCGGCGAACCGACCGGATGCAACGCCAGAATGGGAATGCAAGCCTCCGCGCGCACAAGAGTCCGTTATATTACTCGCATCGGGTATTTCCCAGAACGCGACTATAAACAAACAAACACACCAAGAGAGAGGAACAGGGCAGTGCGCGCGTGTGATCCGTGCCCTCCCTTCCAAGGCAACACTACCGACCAGCTCGAGCCCGACGGGGCATAGAGGGGGACGAGAATACTGGCGCCGTCGGTTGAGTAACCCCACCAATACGGTCGCGCATGCGCGTAGCGAGGGATTCCCCAACCGCCCCCACTACTCATTTCCACGACCGACGCGACGCTTCCCTCCTCAACTTCCCCTACTCTCACTCCCCTTTCCACGCAAGTCAAATTCGCACGTAAAGTTGCTCTGAACGTTTGCCGATGATGACAAACCATCTACAGTGTTTATCGTCGATAGTACGCCGATTTTAGCTAGAAGGATCGAATTTATTGCCTCTCCCTGAACGCATCTGCCTTTGGTTTCATCGTTTCGACACTTTAACCGTGAAAGGAAATGAATGTTTCTTAGGAAACTTGTAACGCGTACCAGGAATGCGTAACCTTTCTTTCTCTCGACAATCATCCTAAGGAAATATTTATAAAAATTAGTCGTCTCGTGGAAGGATAGCGGTGATTTGAAAAAACATTCCTTTGCCGATGGAATGCGAGGGAACCGCGGCAGAAGGAAATTATATTACCCTCGGGGGCCGTTGTTTTCTGTTTTTCGTTCTGCGGTGTCGAACGGTGGGGAAAAAGGAAAAACATTCATACCAGAGGGACAGGAGAAGAGAAAAAGACTCGAGGTGTCTCGATGCTTTCATTGCAATTTTCGCACTTGACCGCAGGGGTAAGCGTGCTTTACGATCCGCGGTAAGATTACCATCGACGCTGGAGGTGGAGGGATCGGTCTACCCCTCGTTCTCCCTTCCATTACTCCCGGATGCGGGTCTCGTTTGCTGGAGGTGGAAGAGCTCGTAGTGGGGGCGAGGGCAAAGTGGAGGGAAAAGCTTGCCGCCAACGGGTGTTGCATAGTGGGGGGAAAGCGCGGGTTAGCAGCCGGGACACGCCAGGCGTAGAATTCAGTAAGCGAACGGCTCTCAACAGCCACGAACGTGTTTTTCGTTCTTCGGTTCCCGCGCATTGCATATATATATATATACGTTATATATGTACCCGAGACTGATCCGAAAGAAACATAATCGAAACGCTGTCGGAAAATTCGCATTTTAAACCGTAAACCAAACCAACCGCGACACACACCCGATTTCTCGAGAGTTCAGTAACGACAAAAAGAAACAACAACAACAACAACAACAAAAAAAAGCAGTTTTTCGTTTTTTTTTTTCTTTTGGTTTATTCGACTCTTCTTTTGGTTCTTCATTTTTATTTCCGCAACTGTGGCTTTAACAAATCAAACTGGATTCCAACAAGCAATACGTGTCGCGATTACATCGCGGCTACCGGAGGCTTAAAAAATTATTCAAGGTAAGAAGAAATACACATCTTCTATAACGCCCTGTATCCCATTTGGAGTAACAAAGTTTCGTGTACGCGAAAAGGTGTGATCGAGTGTGACGACGCGCAGCGACTCCCGAGCTTCTAAGCGATCGTTCTCGCGGAAACAGAGAAGGGAAACTTTAGAAACGTTCGTTCCTGTTTACAATGATTCGACGAAATCCTCGCTAAGTGACGCTCGAGCGCGGTATTCCTCTCCGTGACAATGAACTATCGCTGGCTGTAAGCGCGCCTTCAACCAGCTTTTGTCTATCACCCAAAGATTCGTTGAATGCTCGAGTTGTGTTCCCCGGGACGATGTAAATCCTCATCTTCGATAGAGTATCTGAGAATCCACGGGGACGAGGTTCTCACGGGTCCGTTGTAGAGAATCGTGTGGCAACTTTTTACTGAAAAGGCGCGTCTTCCCACAGGCGGCGATCGTCTTTTCGCGAGATTACCAATTATTTCATTGCCGCAATCGGATAATTTTCGCGTTTCTTTTTCTTCCACCCCCCTTCTCGCCCCTGTGTTTTGTTTCTATCCTTCATTGTTTACGGGCACGTTCGCCGTTCCAAGTGTGTTTTGTTACCCGATTCGGCGGGAAAGTCCCGCGTCGGTGAAACGTCAAGTCTTGCGGGGTTTAAATATCTTCCTCTCTTTTGCACGCGTATCGCGGACGGTTTTCGAGAAATGGCTAATGTGATGAAATTTTGTGTAAGCAAGATTTTTCGCTCGATCCGTGGTAGCCAGGGTAAAGAAAAAGAACAAAAAGAGGTGAGAGGAAAGAAGAGAGGTTAACACACTGCCTCGAAGCATGAATAATTTACGCTCAGTCGAATTTAAATAAATTCGCCCGGAGCTCTCGGCTTCCAAAACAGGCGGCGTAATCACGATGCCGTTCGAAAGTTGTTTACGTTGACTATCGAAGGCAACTTTAAACGAATTCTCGCGGAAATAGTGTGCTCCACGGTATCGCTAGGGGGATATAGACCCCTCCAAAAGATTCCAACTTATGATACACACATTTGTTTGACAAGAAATTCAGTGACACCGTCTATTTACGAACAAAATTATTCCATCCGTTGGTAACAAAACAGACTGTAACGCTCGTGTTTCTGAGCGAGCATTCGATCAGGGAAAAAGCGTGTACCGACATTGTTGCGGTTTTTTCTTTATTTCATAGATTGTGAGCGAAGGAGGAGTTGAAAAAGTATTGAATAATTTCGCTTACGTCAAAAGGTGATTATCGACTAAACAGAAAGCCAATGCACGATAATAACGCGCGCGTGTATCGACGCTGCTCGTTGCTCCCCCTCGTTTCGGCGGTGCGAGAAAATCGACGGGATTACTGGAATCGGTCCGTGAGGTCGAACCACTCAGCTCGATACACGTGAACCTCGAGTGATCACAAAATTCCGCTACTTTCCGAGAGCATCGGCTATATAGCGCGGCTCATTCGAGGTCCGCGACCGAAAAAACATGTTTGTATCGACCAGCTTGTTTATACGATATGATGTGAAAGCAAACAGTTTTGTGGCCGCTTTGGTCGCGACGTAGCTCGATCTTTGTCGGTACTACACGCTCGATTATCTCGGTTGCATTCAATGGCGGAGAGAAAAAAAGGCTTCGGCTATCGAACGACAGTTTGACCAGTCGGTTAATGACGTATTATGTTCCTATCGAATACACTCTGTGTATTTCAAAGTTTCCTAGCTGTAACGGTAGTGTTCGTAGTTATCGATACTGGTCGATAGTTACACACGCCAGATTGTTTTCCGTCGATAACTGTCGTAATCTTGATCGGTTATATATCCATACAGAGATACATATCTCGTAAAGCGACGATGTTTACACTTTACCGCTGTCTTCTAACTTATTTTCTTCTTTCACGAACTCATGCAACAAGATAGCAACACACTTCTTATCCTATGTACATATAAATAACGTTTATGCAATACGTAACCGTAGAATTAGTTCCTGCTGTCGATCTAACGATCGCGGATTTAATGAAACTCCTTGTACGTAGCATACAGAAGAAAAAAAACTGTAGATACACCCATTCGCACTTGCATTCCTATTTGCACGCTAATCATTCAGCTTTGAAGAATGCGCTTCTCTTGTTCGTGAGATCGAACTTAGGACAGTTAACGGATATATAAATATTGGAAACGTTGCTGTCATATCTTTCCGCGGGATGTATTCTATGTACTTACTTACATATGGCAACAAAGTCGAAGTATTGTATTCTAGAACGACTGTTGCTCCCTTGCAATTTTATTCCCCTCTCCTCTGAAACAAATATGTACCCCAAACATGCACTTAAAACCCAAAAGAAGACTAGTACCCGTCACCTAACTATACTATATACGACGGTAGTAAGTACTGTCTTGCAACCCGACGGAGCTGTACGATTGCTAGTAAACGTAGATCAGGTGCCAGGCACAAAGGAGCAGCCCTGTAGTAGCGTTCAATACGCTGGGAAATCGACGACCCTCGTAGAAAATCGACGCTACTCTCGCGTCGTCGGCCCTTTTATTAGAGCCTCCTCCTCCTCTCGAACGGGACAGGAGGGTAAAAGGCAGCAGCAGCAGCAGCGTGTTCCAATTTAGTCGCGCAGCCCGCGCGCGACACGTTTCTCAGCGTCTGCGAATGCAAAACATCTCATTCACGGGCAAAAGTGCTGGCCGCCTGCGCCGATAGGCGTAGTCCCTTCTTCTGGTAGCCGGCATAAAGCCCCCGACGCGACGAGGAGAAGCGAAGAGAAGGGGGCGGGGGAGGGGTGGACACGATCGTTGTTTCTGTCGGTCTCTTTCTCGTTCCCTTGGCGCGTGTATGGCGGTCGTCTTTCTGGCTTCGTTTCGCGTGGCACAACGACAGGAAAGGAGAGAGAGATAGAAAAGTGTCGCGTACCATCGTCCAGAGGGCAGCACTCGACGGGCTGTACGAAAAACATAACCTCTCTAGCGAGCGGCGGGAAAGCGGGAGAGAAGGGAGAGCTAGAACGGAGCGTCGTTACAAGGCGCGCACGGGAGAGGAGAAGAATGCACGCGTCCGCGAGAAAAGGAGACGAGACGAGCAAGGCTAAAATTAGAATGTCCGTTGGAATGCTGTTGGCTTGTGGGTATAGGGTGATTCAGTAATCGCGGGAGGAGGAAAGAAACACATAGAACAGCCGCGAGTAGATGGGATAAAGGGAGAGGAGGAGCTCGCAAGTTTAACGGACGCGCGGCGAAGTTATTCGTTTTTAGAAGATTGAAAGTCCGTTGTCGCGTGGCGCGGCTTCCGGCAAATTTCCCTGCGGTACCGCCTCGCTGCCGTTGCCGTTCTTGCGTTTTTCGTCAAGGGGACACAGCCATACACGCTCGTACACTGCGTACGTACCCTACACAGTTAACTGCTGACCCGATGCGCGTGTTCCCTTTCCAACGGAAACAGACCGCGTCCTCGAGGCTTTATTCGAGGGAGCGCGAAAGTGTCGCAGGGTCATCAGCGAATCGAAATGTCACCGTGGAAAGGTTGTACGATTACGTATATCGTCTGGCTGACCGTGTGGACAGGTATCCAGACAACGAGTAGCAGGGTTTATTTTAAACAGCCTAGAGTGTAGCCAGCTGTCTCTCTTTCTCTCTCTTCGATACTCTTGTACCGTAGAGTATGTATCTAAGATCTAAGCAAATCGCGAGGTCGTCTGGTGGGACGTTAGTCGGCATATCGATTATTCCATGACTCTCCTCTGCCACCGCTAGAGACACTTCTCGTTGATATCTACCGATCGACGCTGCTCTCTATCCTGCGGTATCCGTTCGGTGGTTATCCCTTGGCGGTGAGCAGAGCGAGAGAGATGAAGCGACGATACGGGAGCCGAGGGACCAAGGAATAGATAAGCAAATAAATAAACTAGCGGGGTAAAGCGAAAGCGAGCCAGGCAAGCAGAGGGAGTAGGGCCGCGCTGGGTGTCTCTCGGGCAAATGCTCGACGAGGTCGACGGCCTGACACGGATGGTTGACGCCGTGGGGCCCGCCTCGTAACCGGCCTGCAAAGAACGAGGAAAGGTAGATAAAGAGGATGATAGAAAAAGGGCCTTGCCGACTTGCGTTTTCATCCTTCTAAATATAAGTCCCTCCTTCGCCCTATTTACACCGTCTGATCCTCTCCCTTTGCCTTTGCCTCGATTTCCTTGATTAATTCGTCGAACCCTTCCACGAATGGGTTTATTAACTAGACCTTGGTCCAAGGACCGTGCCTGGAATATCGTTTACCATTCCTCGTAAATTCCCACGTTGCGTATTTAGACTATCCAATCAGAGTTATGATGAATCCCCGACACTTGGTAGACTCGCCATCCTTCTCTTCTGTCGATATCGTTTCCTTAGACTGGTTAAAGATGAAAATAGAAACTTTCCCGCGTTCTCGAAGCATAGAGGTTTAGGTTACGGTCAAAGACCGTCGCTTCTCGAAGCAGAAGGAAAAAAGAAGGAGAACGTTTCGACGGAGAATCATCCGGATTCTGTTGTTCAGGGATGAAAACTCGTTCCTCTCTTTTGTAATGTACCACCGTGTATAAACACGGGATCCGTATTTTTCGGCGGAAGTAGACAATGGGAACGGGTGGAAGGAAGCGGCAAACGAAAAGGGGGCAGGGAATCGTCCTTCTGGACCGGAAACGAAGCGATCACCGGCTTCAAAATCACGCTTGTGTTGCGTTACCGCTTTTGAACCCTTCTTCTTTCTCCGTTGCATAGAGCTTTCATTGAATTTCATGACTGTAGAAAGTGTCTAAAATCGCGTCCGATTCGTTGACCCCTCTGTTCTTTCTCTCTCCCTGTCTGGCAGGTAGACGGGAAACATCTGTGGGACCGATTATGTTAAAGGCACACACCATTCTTTGCCCTCGTTTCTGCTACGCGTATCCCATTAGAGGGAAGCTTCGACACATAAATATGTAAGGCGACTCAACTTGCCAAGAGGAAATAATTTCCAATTACAAAGCGACCCTCGGCCAGACAAGTCGCGACTGCCCATTCCCTCGGGTGCTGTTTGCCTGTGTATATTCAAAGGACGGCAGCAATCTCGGTAAATATTTGTCCTAGTCTTTTCGATCGGCTAGAATCGTTTTCTTTCATTTCGTTGTACGTTCAACGAAAAACAACGAAAATCTGGTAATAAATAATTATGAACTACATAATGTTCTCGTTACGTTTACAGTTGTTCTGGATCAATTACGTTGAACGTTAAAAAAAATTCCAGCAAATTCGTTCACGGTCAAACGAGCGTTACGTGAAAAAGAGAGTCGCCAAATTCGTGATAGACGTCATAGGCTGATATCACACGCGCAGCCTCGATCTTCCAACGTGCGTGGGATACGTAACTCTCCGCGCCAGTCCGTTTCTTTCCTTGCTTTCATTTCGCAGCAGATCGCTCGATGCTCGAGACCGGGCCAGATATACATAAAGTAACAAACCGGGTTCGTCATCCTGACCTGCACGACTGTGCCACGTGTCGGCTCGAGTGACGTCACTTCCGGCGCCTAATTTCCTGGTACCGGACGATCGTTGGCGGATGAGAGGAGTTAAGTGACCGGACACACGAGTTCGTGCCTACTCGGTTGTCCCACGACCGTTTTCGAATATTTCCAGAGGAATCCGATAGCGATTAGAGAAAAGTCACGCCAACGTCGTATCACACCTCTTTATTTCCGTGTAAAAACAAAGGCACATCCTGGCCGGTGGCTTGTATTCGTTGAAAACGACGTTGTAGGTGTCCGATTAAGACGTTTGCCGTTTTTGTTTCAGCGTGTGGCGAACCAGGCGCTTACCGTTTCGCCACAGCCGGCAGTTACGGTGGAGGGGCCGGTGTCCAAAATGTCTCCACCAACGAACGACGTGACCAACGGCGTGGTTGCGCCACCCAACACCTTGGCGCCTCGGGTTTCGCCGACCGCGAACCCGGCTCTCACCACCATCAACCCACCGACGCACAAGCGTAATCCTCAGGATTTCATTTTTGGCAAGGTGATCGGCGAGGGAAGCTTCTCCACCGTAAGTGTATTACTTTGTAAACTGAATTAAATCATCAAGGGAGTAGCGGTGCAAAAAAAAAAAAAAAAAAAAAAGAAAGGGAAAAGAAACTTCATCCCCCTCGTTGTACGAAAGGTAGCATTTCGCGTCCCTGAAACTTTTTCCAGAGGAGCGTTAGATCTATCTAACGTGTGGCGTTATTTCGATCGATCACAGGTTTACCTCGCCAAAGATATTCACTCGGGGAAGGAGTACGCGATCAAAGTGTGCGACAAGCGTCACATCATCAAGGAGAAGAAGACCGAGTACGTGAAACGCGAGAAGGAAGTGTTGAACATGCTCGCGGACGCGAAACATTCGTTCGTGCGTCTGTTCTGCACGTTCCAAGACGTGGAAAGACTTTATTTCGTCCTATCGTATGCGAAGAACGGTGAACTCCTGCCCTACATCAACAAGGTTGGCTCGTTCGACATCGAGTGTACGAAGTTCTACTCGGCGGAGATTCTTCGTGGTCTCGAGTACCTGCACGGTCTCGGCATCATTCATCGCGATCTTAAGCCAGAGAACATTCTGCTGGACGAGAAGATGCACGTGCTCATCACCGACTTCGGCAGTGCCAAGATACTGAAGGATCCGGAGACGGTGTCGACGCATACGACCGCCACGGACGACCCGCAACAGCAGCAACAGCAACAGCAGCAGTACCGACGAGAACGCAGGGGTTCGTTCGTTGGTACCGCCCAATACGTGTCGCCAGAGCTGCTGACCGACAAGACGAGCAGAGCCTCCGATCTCTGGGCCCTCGGCTGTATAGTCTACCAGATGGTCGCTGGTCTGCCCCCGTTCCGCTCTAGAAGCGAGTACATGATATTCCAAAAGATCCTGAAGCTCGAGTACGAGATACCCGACGGCTTTTGCGAGCTGGCCAGGTCACTGGTCAGTCAGCTGTTGGTGCTCGAGCCATCCGAGAGACTTGGCGCCCAGGACGAACACGGCGCCGGATATCCCAGTATCAGAGCGCATCCCTTCTTCGAGGGCGTCGACTTCGAGACCCTCCACGAGCAGACACCACCACCGATCTACCCATACCTGCCAGGTACGTCGGAACACGAGGAGCTCAGGTCGCAGTACAGGGTTCCCGATCACCTGGAACCTGGCCTCGACGACAAACAGCTCACCAGGCTTCTTGGTCTGGGCATCGGAGAGGACGACGACGACGACGACGACGACGACGAAGACGCGACCATTGAGCGTGAGAAGGTCGCGCAGCAGGCCACTAAGGTCGTCGAGAAGCCGAGGAGAAGGACGAACGCGGTAGCGACGGACGGTAACATCACCGATCTAACGCCGGAGGAGATCAAGAACCGGCTGGAGAAGCAACGCGCGTCCAATCAATGGGATGTCTTCGTTGAGGGTAACCTTATACTGAAGCAGGGCTTCGTGAACAAGAGGAAAGGCCTGTTCGCCAGGCGGAGAATGCTCCTGCTCACCACCGGACCACACTTGTACTATGTCGATCCTGTCAACATGGTGCTCAAGGGAGAGATACCCTGGAGCCCGGAACTAAGGGTCGAACCGAAGAGCTTTAAGATCTTCTTCGTCCACACAGTAAGTTTTTATACTCTTCAACTTCTTCTATCGCCCCTTCTATCCGTTTCTTCCTTACAGAATTTCTAACTCGGTATTTCTAACTTCCTTACAGCCAAACAGAACGTATTATCTTGAAGATCCCGAAGGATTCGCATTGGAGTGGTGTAGAGCGATCGAGAACACGCGAGTCCACTACTACGGCCTGCAGGAGTCCACCACCACCGCTTAAACAGAAGACTGAACCCAAGATTGTTTTGGATGGAACCCAGTAGGAAAGTATGTTTCATCGTAAAACGGTAAATGTTGTCCGCGATGTGCGATCACCGAACTTGTGGTACTCGTTCGTGGCCAGACCAGGCGATTATACGTATATACACATATACATATTATATACATATAGATCGTTTGTTAGCGTGTAACTTGTCGTTAAGGGAAATATATTCTAGGATATGTTAGCATTCTAGCGCGCGTACCAAGCGTCTCTGTACAGATTTATGATAAATTTTCTAGATAAAATTCAAAACGTTGTTAAATATATTTGGGATGGTCCCGTAAGAAAATGTCGGGTATAGGGGCACCAATAGGAGATACGTATTTCGAGATCATCGTGCAGCTATCTTATCGTCATTTTTCACCCAAGTTTGCTATTTATTATCGACCTCAGAAGTACCTTGAACACGGTGCTGCACGATGTATTTCTAGCACGACGAAACACACGAGGAATAGCGAAATTTTTAGCCAAGGTTTTTAACTGTGTGTATTCGCACACAGGGTCGCTGCTGACGCGTGACGAGGTCGCCTGGTGTTTCCTTAAAACTACCCTAAAGTTGTTTCAATCGTTTAAAGATAACGAAATTCGTTATTGATCATTGACGCGTAATCCGAATATCACGGTCAAAATTCCTTCGAGACTTAGAAAAATGAGAAAACGAGAAGACTAATTATGCTGTTACGAGTATTTGACGCGGTTCAAAGCGCAAGGCTAATTTAGGCGGCCGTCGATCGTTCGCGTTCTCAGCAGCAGCAGCAGCGTATTACTCTGTTCCAAATATAGCCAAAATTACATAGAAAATTGCTGGAGAGTTGTTTAAACCGTAAACCACAGCGGTGATCGTGGGGAGAGGGTAGTCTCTTCGCATCGACGGGTAGTCTCCGCTGTCGGTCACGCGAATCTAGACGTCAATTTATATAGTAGAAGTTAACCAAAAAATGAAAACTTTATAAAAGAAATGCGGCGGAAGACAACGTAATCGCTTCGCAGCTTTAAGTCGTGTTTTTACGTCGCCTGGAAAGGGATGCCTCGGAATGGTTGCGCGTTTATTCCGACGTTATCCCTTGCGCTCTTCATCTACAGTATTTTCTTCTCGTTGTTCGTTGCCCCGTGTTTTTTCCCTCCTCGGTCGTTGTAAATATTTAGCGCGATTTTCACGAAGAGACAGGCTACGTAAAGCGCATATATTATTAACTCTGTATAAGTACATAGGTCCCTCGTATACGTAAGTACAAAAATCGTTGTCAGACCGCTGCATTTTTCCCCCCCTTCTATCGTTCTTCGTTTTTACTTAGCCCGTATTCCCCCCCCCCCCCCCCCCCCCCCCCCTTGATCGCCAATCTGGCCCTCGCGGACTCGATCGAACAATGTGTGTACAGCCGGGAACTAGAAGGACAACATTTAGATTTTAATCGGAAGGAGAATGTTTAGTAGTTGTTTAAGGAGCTGATAAAACGTTCGTTGTAAAAAAAAATAGGCAAAGGAGGAGGAGCGGTGGAAATTTCAGAGGAAAACCGTGTATTTCCTCGTCTTGCGAAAGACTTGATAAACTTGAACGTGACCCTACGAATTAAGTAGATAGAATCGTTTAAAAGAGGATAGCTTTAACAGAAGTAGTAGCCCCGTTTAGATACGAAAATCACACACATTCACACGCACGCACACACACACATCCACACACAGAAGCATACCACCAGTACACACCGACCGCGTTCAGACTAATTATCGTTATCGTTCATACTATTACTCTAATTTTCTAGTATTTAGCGCAACATTACGAATTATTGTTAACGACGTTAATTAACTGCTACGCCGTATTACCAGCATAAGTATTTTTCTCCCCTCGTAACTGTCGACGTATTTAAGCAACCGATGATTCTCTATTTCTCGTTTCTTTTCCCTTCTTTTTTTTTCATTTCGTTTTACTTTTTTTTCCACGTGCGATTTTTCTTAATTTATTGCTCCGTATTCGTCCCTGATTATTTATTTTTTTATCGTTTACGTTCCCTCGCGTCGTTCAGGTAGGAGTTACACGCCAGCCAGACTTTAGTTAGTACTACTACCGCTACCACCACTGCGACTATTATTACTAGTACTACTACTACTACTACTATCGCTATTATTATACTATTACTATTTAATATTATAGCGCCGTTCTCTGTTGTGTACGTACCTATACGCATGCGCGTACGCCGGGACTTCCCCCGCGTGTATATGTACGCACCTATACGCATGCGCGTACGTGGGGCGTCCCCCGTGTATACGTCCGTACGCAATCTATGTTTATATGCGTTCTCGTTCTGTAACTATACATATTATTAGTATATTGTCTTTAGCCGTAACTCTAGGTAATCTGTAAATAATACTGCCTCGTTTATCGTCGACGCATCGTGGCCCTGTTCGATTTTTAGCCGTGCAAATCAGTCGTAGCCCGTGCTGTATGATAATATCTGTATATTACCTATACATAAATATTCTATATATATAAAGAGGTATATATATAAGCACATATATACGTATACAGTTATATAAAATATTTATGAATTGTGAATAGTAGTTAGGGAAAATCGTGTATAAACGTTCGTTCTTAGGTTTTAGGCCAAAAGACGCGCTTAGGTTTAATATATTTTGTTGACGTTATCGTTGCCACGACTGAATCGCGCGATCTTCCTCGTTGTTGTACTATAATGATTAAAACAGCTTCCCTAACTTTCTTCTCGCGATACCTTTAGAAGACTTAAACAGGGTATTTGGAGGAGGATCCGGTGAAATACGGGGGCACGATCGTGGTGTCTGCGACGTAATCGCGAGTATGCTCGAAATAATGGTGGTTCGTTCTACGGATCGGCATTGTCCTTGTGCCCAGTGGCTTTCCAAAATGACCGCTTTTGGTGTGCCACGCACGGTGCTTGCGGGCGAAAACGGGACGCACAGGCTCGACGATCGTCTCACAATTCTGTTCGCCGTTTCTTTTTCTTTGACTATAGTGAGAATCGATCGCGAGAAGGAACCGGATAAGTTGTTGGTCCTCCACTTCCTGTTCCCACGTTTCCCTTCCCGTTCCTTCGCGGAGAACAGGGCCCCGATGGCGTTCGCTCGATAACAGTAAACACAGTCTTTCTGTCAAAACGAAGCACGCGGGTGTCAATGATGTTTGCAAAATTTTAGAAGCGTTAGAGGTAGTTTTCCGACGACGCTTCGATCGTTCACGGCAATGCCCGACCAAAGTTCCTCGCTACATCGACCAATTGCTGCTTCATTTTCGATGAAAGAATGTGTCTAGGCACCGTTTCATCGATTCTCGACTCGTTGATCATGAATCGATGACACGGTTCACACAGAGACGTGTTTCCACTGTTGTAAACTTTGCAGGTTCTACGTTTTATGCAGACGTTGCAAACTTTCGTGTGGGTACGCGTGTATTTTCTTCTTTTCATTTTTCCTGAGCGTCGGCTCCCTTCAACCGGGGAAAGGTAGTCGCTTTTATTATAAAATAGTTTTCCGTTAATTTTTGGAGACTGGTCTTTTGAGATTCCTAATCCCCTTCGAAGGCGGCGCTTTACCTCCTTTGTATTATAGTTCACTTAATACTTTTAGCCGAGCATACTAAATCTCTGAGCGTATATTTGTTGAGATACGTTCGATGCGAACAAGCGAAAAACAAAACTAGCTAATTTAATTTATATATATACTCGCGAGAGGGAAGAACGAATACTTAAAAACAATTGCGAGAAACATGTGTTAAGAAAAAAATATGGAAAAAGAAACGTTCGGACACCACTAACGTTAAGAACTTACACGCAAGCAATAATAACAAGGCCTTGCGATTATTCGAATGCCTACCGTTTCGGCGTAACAAGGACGGTTCAACTATTAATTGCAGTATTACTAAATGTATACAGACTAAAAGAGTACACTTACACGCCAACACCAACATTAATGGTTTTACTTATACACACCCACTAAATACTTCACATCGGATAAGAAGACTCTTGTAAATAGTTAGCACGTAATTGATATCATAGGCAACAAGACCTATTAACATCAAATTTATTTATAGTAAATTTTCCGAAATACCGTATATCTGTGTTATCAATTAATACAACCTTTACCATCCTATCGACAATGTATTATGTTTAAGAAATATATTTAGTGGGGAGATTGCAATAAATTCAGGGTAAGTATATATAGAATATCGTGTATTCACACACGCTGCTAGTTACATCATAACATTGTTTAGTATTCTAAAATTATAACTTTGTCAATATTAGCACTGTGAATTTGCAATGTTTTGTTGTTAATCTGTATTACACAAGAATATATATTTATTACTAAATTTATAATTTGGGAAATTGTAGGATAGAAACACACATGTAATTAGTTGGATAAATCATTGATTCTTATTCAAATTAATTCCTGCATTAAACTTATCATTAATCGATATTCATACCCTTTCGATCCGACAGATGAACCAGCAAATGCCGTTTCAAATCGGGCATATTTTTCGGAGTGGCTGAACATTTGTGACACTTCAGCGGAGTGTTCAAGTGTTGAGCACTGTCCTCGGATTTTATTCTTTTAAGTTCACCTTTCTCACGTAACTGATTGCAAACATCTGCAATCGATAAACGGTAAAATTTACGTTTATTCAAGTATACGTATGCACCTACCTGCCGAATGCAAAAAGAACGGAGTTGTAAACGAATTCCAGTGATACTTTGTTTTCAGGCATGGACTGTTAAAGTCTGTGCTTATTACATGTAAGTGTAACCTGTGCATACTTGGTACAGCATGATACCCAATGCTGCATTAAATATGATAAAAGCATATGAGCCTAGTCTGATTATAATGGTATGAAAAAGATATACATACAAAAATTCAGAATCCTTATGTTCCTTAATTAAATCATCAGCAACTTTAGCCATGTGAAACAACAAATCTTCATTCTCTTTTTTAATATGCCACAATGAAGGTATATCTGCTTTTGGTAGGATTAAATAATGATATTGGGCTTTTGGGTATTTGTCCTTAATAACAACTATTTTATCATCCTCCTTCACTTTAAGTTCAGGGTCCTCCATAGAAACAAGCAAGCCTGTTGCCCAATGATGTTTCTTTGGAGCTGTTGCATCAGTTGTGGTCAATTTTGGTTTGCGTTTCATTGTTATTATTCCTTTGCACTTCCTGGAGAAAATCATCACCTTCAATATATATTCATGTAGAGGAATAAAGTTTTGGTAATTTGTCCGTTAGTTATAAATAGCATAATGTATTATTCTATACATGCAATAAAATCTAAAAATGCTGACAAAATTATGAATCAATATTATCCTAATTACATTGTAACATTCTAATTATATCTATTAAAAGAATATAAAAAATAAAAAACACTTACTTTATGTTCTACGAATTTTACGCTAATCAACACTGTTGTATAAACATCCTAGAGGTTATGTTGACGTGATAACTTTCGCTACTAAATAGCCAGATCTAAATAAGTGTTGAAAGATCAATTACCCTGTACACGAAGCGATTCTATATGTGCGTGATAATTGTCACACATTTTTTGTTGGTTTTCGTTCTTATCACATTTGTTTACTTTAATTCAAAACTTACGAATTACTAAACAACTCGGACATTTGTTGTATCAACAATGACTACAGATGCATCGTTAGTTCTCGAGAAAAATGATTATTGGGGTCCTAGATACCCCCAAGTGAAATTAGGTTCGGGTGTACAGAGCACAGTTGGCATGACAGTCATGCCTCTTACCGAAGTAAAGTTGGCGCGAAATATTTTATTCACTCGGAATCTAAAATTACTCCAATCACAAATATTATATTTAATGAGATATTCGCAAATGAAAGACAAAAATAAGCAAAACAATTTGTAAACTAATTGTCCGACAAAATTGTATTTTAAATAGAGTTAAAATTACATATTTCTGAAATTTTATTCCAGCGCCATCTATACAAACTCGGCCCAAACTATTAGACAACATACTCCGGCAGTCGGTAAGTAGCCGGCCAACGATCGACACTCCTGCAGTCGGTAAATTGTCAAATAGTTTCCGCCCTTCTTACATAGATGGAGAAAATGTCGAATTTTTGATTGACTTACCGACAAGTAGGGGTGTAAGACATTTAATTTTGCAACTTCTTATTTTCTAGGAATAATCTTACATAAGACCCCCCGCCGTCCTCTGTGGGAAGGTGGCGGGAGCGTGTTTGATATTTCGCTAGATCCGGTCGTACCCATCACTATTCCAAACAACTGAGTTTCACGATTTTTTCGTTTTTAGGTCTTATACTTTGCTAGATCAGGTCGTACCCATCACTATCCCGAACAAGTGAGTTTCACGATTTGTTCGTTTTTAAGTCTTATATTTCGCTACTTGCTTTGGGGTCCCTGACACCCCGGTGGCATACTATAAAATCGGTATGCAGCGTCACCGGTACCTCGGGGTCTCAGATACCCCGAATGCCGTAGTGTCGGTAAGCAAAGAGTGTCATCGGTGCTTAGGGGTCCCTGACACCCCAGTGGCATACTATAAAATCGGTATGCAGCGTCACCGGTACCTCGGGGTCTCAGATACCCCGAATGCCGTAGTGTCGGTAAGCAAAGAGTGTCATCGGTGCTTAGGGGTCCCTGACACCCCGGATGCCAAAATGTTGGTATGTAAACAGTGTCACCGGTGATTCGGGGTTCCTGACACCCCAAGACGATATCATGTCGGTATGCGGTATGCAGAGATAGTCTCTGATGCTACGGGGTCCCTGGCACCCCGGATGCTATATCATTGGTATGCAAAGATAGTTACCGGCGTTTGGGGTCCTTAATACCCCAATATGATATCTGGTCGGTACGCAGAGGGCATTCTTGGTGCAGCGGCGTCCCTAACACCCCTGGATAATATCAGGGCCGTGTGAAGAGGGCACAACCAGTATAATTTCTTTCCAGAGTTTATTTATTTTACTTAATTTATTTTTTTTGCTTATTAAATAAGATCATCGAAGGGGAATAACATTTATGATTATATCCCTCTTCTGGATCTCAGCCGAGGACCCCATTTATTTTACTTTTTCCAGTGATTTATATAATTTTATCACTCATTATAGGCCAAGGCCATCTCAGTATCCCTTACATCCCTGCACTCTTTTTATCCCTACATTCTTTTCACCGCGATATTCCTTTCATTCCTACACCCTTTTTTCATCCCTACATTCTTTTCATCCCTACACTCTTTTCATCCCTACATTCTTTTCATCCCTATACTCTTTTCATCCCTACATTCGTTTCATCCTTACATTCCTTACATCGCTCCATCCCTTACATCGCTACATTCTTTTCATCCCTACATTCTTTTCATTCCTACATTCCTTTCATCCCTACATTCTTTTCATTCCTACATTCCTTTCATCCCAATATTCTTTTCATCCATACATTCCTTTCATCCCTACATTCCTTACATCTCTTCATCCCTTACATCTCTACATTCTTTTCATCCCTACACTCTTTTCATCCCTACACTCTTTTCATCCCTACATTCGTTTCGTCCCTACATTCTTTTCATCCCTACATTCCTTTCATCCCTACATTCCATACATCTCTTCATCCCTTACATCTCTACATTCTTTTCATCCCTACACTCTTTTCATCCCTACATTCGTTTCATCCCTACATTTCTTACATCGCTTCATCCCTTACATCGCTACATTCTTTTCATCCCTACATTCCTTACATCTCTGTATCCCTTATAATAAATATATTATAAAGACTGCTTCGAGTAAAGGTAAGTAAAGGTAAGTTAGTTTCATTTTTTCCGAATTTCGCAAAAATTTCGAAAAACAGCGCCATCTGGCGGCAAAAATGTGAACTAAAATTTCGATGTCGAATCAGCGCCCTCTGGCGGTGAAAAAAGGAACTAAAGCATGCTCCGTTTTTGGCCCTCTGGCTGCAAAAATGTGAACTAAAATTTCCATCTCGAACCAGCGCCCTCTGGTGGCGAAAAAAGAAACTAGATTTGTATAAAATCGCAGGCCTTATAGCCGCATAAATTTCAACTCAATTTCAGGGAGGTTCTGGGATGTATGGAATGCAAGAATATAAGTGATACAAGGATATAAAGGATACAGGCATGTAAGGGATGCAGGGATGTAAGAGATGTTGGCATATAAAGAAGGCAGGAATGTGAGGAATGCAGAGATGTAAGAGATGTAGAGATGTCTGGAATGCAGGGATGTAAGGGAAGCAGAGATGTAAGGGATGCAGAGATGTAAGGGATGAAGAGATGTAAGGAATATAGGGATGAAATGAATGCCGGGATGTAAGGGATGAAGAGATGTAAGGAGTGTCGGGATGTAAGGGATAAAGAGATGTAAGGAATGTAGGGATATAACTTGTAGATAATTAAGAAATTATTCACTCACAAACAATGAAAATGATATATTTGTAAATCACAAACGATTTCCAATCAATTACAGTTATCAGTTATCACAAAGTCTGTTTATTATAAAAAATTACTAAAAAGTTCCGGCTCACATCATGACTGAAATAAAATTGGTAATTACAAAAGAACTAATTTGTTACAAACGTTAAAAATAGACTCACAATCAATCTCAAACGATTTACAAACGAAATACACTAAGAAAAATTAAAAATAATCATATTTTATTATTCCTTCCGGCTAGCTTTATATAAGTTGCAGGCCTACCTGCGCCAGGGGGTGCCTAGGACCCCGAGATCATGATCCCTCAAGAGTAAAGGCATGTCCAGACTTCTTGTATCTGTAATAACTGGTATAGATCAGCTGTTCACTCGATTTAGTGCGCATGTGTGCGCGCATAAGTATTTAAATAAATACCCGGCAATGATTTTTAACACGCAAATCGTAAAATAAATTCGAAGTTTTACAGACGCGTTTAAGGAATCATTGGAAAAAGAAACAAACTACTTATCGAATAACTTTAGATTTATTTATTTACTCAAATGGAAGGCAATCGATAAATTTGCAACAAATAAAAATAAATAACACTCTCTCTAGCAATAATTACGTGATCGTTACTTAAACGTACATCATTACAATAAATTCATAGATACTTAACAGAACTTATACCTTTTCTTTTTCGCATGCTCATACAAAATATGTTCATGTGATTGTTGTATGTGTGTGTATCTTCGCGTGCGAGTACGCGTGTCCATACCTATTTCATTTTATTTCCTGTGTTGCCTTTAGTGCAATTGCACGTAACGTTGTTATACAAGTACATCTGAAGAAAAACCCTATACACAGACGAGTTTTTCATCGTGAAATCTCATCTATCCCGTTATATGTTCTTGTTCGTTTCTTATGTTCTTCTATATATTTTGCATTCGATACACTCTCATACGTTTTATTATACAAACAAAGACACTTTCACGCGTCTCACGACAGACTACCAGATTCGCACAGCCTGACAAATCAATCATCAATAGATTTCATGATTCGAAGAAAGTGAAATAATTACAGGATTGCAATGCTAAGAAACGATTTTTGCTGCGATACGTTAAGAAATATTTCAAAAAAAGAAAAAAAAAAAGAAAATAAAGGGATCGTACGTCGTATTTTGTATCTCTTTTGGCGGATTCGCTACCATTGCTTTTACGTTAGATCTTCTTTCATTGTCCCCTAAATTCGTACATGCTAATCCGCCTCACCGACGTCGTATCGACAGCACTCGCGAATCTCGCTCACATATGATACATTATTTTACAACGCGATTAAAAACGTTTATTGTCATGGCAACGGGTGGTAAAATTTCTTTAATGAAGCGATACGCGGTGGCAAGGGGATTTTTGGCACGATTTTCTACCCCGATCACCCACCATGTTCCCTCTTTCTTTCGGCGAAAGCGTTGTGCATTTGTTGGTTTCGTTTATCGCAAGATGGGGATTTAAATGCAGCGTTAGTAGCGTGATTATAAAGCGACCTACGTGATCCGGTTAATCAATTTCGATTTTAAATGCATGGATTTTGAATGGATACATTACAGAAGACACTGTAAATTAAAGCGTTGATGTCTCAAATATAATGCAATCGAATGATTAATCAAAAAAAAAAAGGACAATGTCCAATAGCGTTACTATTAAACAAAAAGCTTCAATTTAAGAATTGAACATCTTGACTGTTATTGGGGAGTGATCAGCTAATTTAAAATAATATAGCAAGTGGAAAGCTGAAAATTTAAATAAATTATTTCTAATGGGGAACATGGTGTTCCGAGGTCCATGGGATGTTTCTCTGTTGCGTGTGAGAGTTTGGAATGTTGCATACCTTTGCTGTTCGTTTGTGCGATATGGGGTGAACGATGATGGTTTGTTTGCCAAATTGCCACTTTCGATCGTGAAATCAAGGGATCACGCCTAATCTACTTGAATCGACAAACCATTCCCTGCACTTAGAAATTGATTTACTCGTAATTGAAATAATATCGCAGATATCTATCGCGCAGAGAAATTATGCGATTCAATCCGGTGGCGTTTGAGGGGCGATTGATAATTCTAATGGGGTTTCAATTAGCACCGTCGTTAATTACGTACGCGTATCGATGGATATTCAGATCTCTCTCCTAGGAATCACTTCGAACTTCATTTGAACTCTGAATAAAATTCGAAGTGTTTCATAGTCCATCGTTACGTACGCGTTGATACCGTTCGACGCACTCGCATACATTTTCACGTATATTATTCCACGCTCGGTAACACAATACGCATTCACCATTTTCTCTTTTTATTACCGATTTAGGCAGTGCGATCCTTTCTCGTTACATCGACGTACGAAGCCACTTGGTTCTGCAAAGAATGTCTCAGAAAAATGCGAGGCGCTGTTTGTTTCGCCGCATTTAGCATTTCGTAGAGATAGTTACATGAAATACACGAATTATACCTTGTTTTAAATATCATACTAACGCCTTAGTAACTTTAAGGATTCGATTGAAACGTAAACGTGTTACGTTTATTGCTTTCGATTTGGCCAATCAAGATTCTGAGACGAATCTTTTCGATTTTGTTGCTGCTCGAGTACAGTGTACAGAAGCGCGGCTCGCGGTACACGCGGTAGCTTCGGTCTCTTTGCTAGTGCGAGTTTGAAAACATGGAATGTCACAAAAAAACAACAGAAAAAAAAAAGATTCGTAAAAGGGAAAACGAAGAAACAGTAGAACCGCACGACAACCCGACATCGGTAGAATTTTCTGTTCGCAACCATTCCGACCATTTCTATGCGATTATAACTGATTAAAAAGTATGTATGTGTAACCTCTAACATCACATGCTCTGGCTTAGAAAATTATACATAGCTGTGCATGAAAGCCGTCGAGCACGCTTCTTCCGATTTTTCATTTCCGTTCATCTAATCATTTCTTTTCCGCCCCTGTTCTTCCGAAATCTAGGCTTTCGAACGCAGCATGTATTCATTATTTTACATATATGCATATATGTATGTATGTATATGTATACACGTATACATAGATACATAGTTTTACAATCGTTACATTATATTATATTATTCTTGTAAAATGGTAATAATAATTATTATAATAATTAATCCTGATTACATTATTACAGTTGTATATGGTTCTGTTTTTTGGAGCTAGGGAGGGAGGGAGGGGTGGAGGTATGGAAGAGGGAAAGTTAGGGAAGCACACGAGAGAAAAACATATACGCAGCTTTCCCGTTTTTTCTTTCCCAGTTTAACACACACGCTATTCGCAGTTATTAAAACTCAAGCAACACACCACTGTAGACTGGATAGTAAAAACTAGCTAAGAGTGCTCGCAAGGAAATTCTTTGGAGAATTTTGAAGACATCTCGTCGTTGTCGTTTTATTTCCGGTTGCCGGGACGATCGAGTCCTCGTAGCATCTTTTGCTGTACGTTAGATCGATCGTTATAAACGATATCATTTCTAGCTAAAAGAGATACTTGTTCCTAGCTATAATCGATGGAAACGAATCTCGAGATTAACGCGATCGATCTCGTGAAACGAAAGAGCGCGTTGCTTTTTTTTTACCGATCGAGAAAGACCGAAGCGTACACGTATCCGTCGTGACTTTTTTTTTTTAATAAAAATCCTTTAAAAAGTTGAATATATCGCTACGGTTCTCTCGCGATTGTGCACCGCCTTGACGCGTTCATTTATTTCAATTACTCACCTAGAGTGTCGATCGTGACAATTGTACAGCTATTTTACTCCTAGTTCGTAAGCGGAAGTCTCTCCGCTCGATATGCGAAGCGTAAGTACGTTTCAGTGTTCACGGGATGTCCACGGGGGAGGGGCTGGAATTGCTAACAGAGAACAGAACAGAGGCAAGTATCCGCGAAACGATTCGTTAAAATGCACCAAACGGGTCACAGATTGATCACAACACGCGTAGCACGTGGGCCGACTCTGCCCCGTCGTCTTTCCGCGTTTCGCGATTAGTCTTCCCGGTTTCCCGTTGACAAGAGTTAAGTACACAGGGCCGAGCACCACGAGGGAAACTCGGGCTAGGTCGCGAAGTCGACTTTGTCCCAGGTAAGCGACAAATCGGACGACATCTTGAAGTCGGAATCCTCCATGTTGAACAAATCGAACGGGTCCTGACTGCTGGCCAACAACGGATCGTATATATCCGTTCCGCTCGACATGCTCGTGGGAGGCGGTTGATGATTGGAAACAGTCGTGGAAGCGGTCGGAGGTGACTGTGGCATCAAAGAGTCTAACCAATCTGGGTCGTCCATGTCCATGGGCATGTCTCCGATGTCCATCAGTTCCTGTGGCGCTTCCATTTTCACTCCTAGATCGCACTCCAATTGACTGAAGTCCATTGTATCTAAGGTCTCTAGGTCTAGTTCAAGTTCCTAAAGCAAAAGTCAATAAATACGTACATGACGACTTCGACTTCTGACTCGGTTCAACAATATTGCAGACCCAACGTGGACTTACCTTAAGGTCTAAGTTTGCGTTGTCCGATGAGGTGACTTCCTGCGGGGGTTGAGGATCAGGCGACGTCTGTTGAGTCGACTGAGGACTGAGCAGCATCGCGGTGTCCAGGTCCCCCTCGGTGTTCAGTAGGTCCGTGTTGAACGAGGTGATCTCCTCCTGTTGCTGCAACTGTTGCAACGCAGTGGGTAATTGAATCGAGAACGTGGCCAAAGGCAATGGAGGCGGTGGCGGTGGTGCCGGCGCCGGTGAACTCACGCAATCGCTCTGGGAAACCTCCATCGCGATCGGGCTGATCGGACTGATTGGACTAGCAGCGGTGAAAACCAACGAGTGGGTCTGACTGTCCGCCGGCGCTGTGAACACCAGGTTCTGCTGGAGTTGCCTGTTGGGCGTGGTAGGAGTGGCTGGGTCCTGGGCAGCGCTCGGTGGTAGTTCGCCGTTCTTGATTAAGATCTCCAGCACGTCGTCCACGACTTGACTTTTGATGTGGCTCTTTTGAACTGGTTCGATCTTTACCTGAATGTATCAAGAAATGGATGATTAAATAAAATGAATTAAATTTTCTAAACGAAGCTTAAATAAAATATATCCTCACCTTTAGAAGTTTCGCCGCTTCGTCGTACTGAGGTGGCGGTGGTTTGCCCTCCTCAGACGCAATAGCTTGCTGCTGTTGCTGCTGTTGTTGTTGCTGTTGTTGTTGAGCTTGCGCCTGCGCTACCAACGCACTCAACAACGAACCGTTCAATTTCGTAGGTTTTGGCAGATTGAAAACGATCGCAGCTGGAATCTGTACAGTAGCGCTGTTCTTCGTCTGATTCTTCTTGTTGTTGATCGCGGTCAAAGCCGACGAGTCGAGAATGGCAGTGGTGTTGTTTGGTTGTGCTTGCAAGAACGCGGCGAGGCTTGCCTTTGCGTTCAGTTGTTGGAACGTGGCGTGTTGTTGGGTTTGCTGTTGTGACTGCTGTTGATTCTGTTGTTGCTGTTGTTGCTGCTGCTGCTGCTGTTGATGTTGCTGCTGCTGTTGTTGCAGATGCTGCAACTGTTGCAAATGTAAAGCCAGCTGTTGTTGCTGCATCTTGTTCTGTATGTGTTGCTGAAGCACTAGTTTCTCAGCGTGAACGGTGGTCGGCTGGGTCTGGCGAATTTGCTGAAGTTGTTGCTGAGATTTATACAACTCTCGTTGCAACTCTTCTATTCGCTTTCTCTGCTCTTTGATAATTTCGTCTCCTGAAACACGAACTACATCGTGGAAAAACCGACGTGTGTTGTGCCCCCAAAAGTTTCTTTTGGTCTGCTGCAATTATAGATTAATTAATTATAAAGTGATTATTACCTGGAGGACTGGATGGGTCGTCGTGTTCGCTGCCATGCGGAGAATCCATCCGTGGACTGTTGGGTTCATCCTTAACAGTGGAGCCAGGACTCTTGGCATGCGAACTAGACTCATCGGACGTCATTGGTCCCGGGGTGTCCATCAATATGTGACCCATATGAGTCACGTGCGGTCCATTCGAGTTGGACGTCGAATTGCTGCTGGACGATTCCGTGAACGGCTTTAATCGCTCGATCAGCTGTGGCTTCGAGCCAGACACCGGCAAATTTCGACGTTTCAATTCCACTTTGAGATCACTTACTGAAAGGACAACATTTATTTCGGTCAATGGTCACTGAAGTTTAATCAAATCTCTTTTCGCGTTGTAATTTTCACCTTTCATATCCTCCAACTTGCCCAGAGGCCTCAACGGAGGCTGTTCCGAGGGGTTATTGGAGGAATTCGAGGGCGCCGGACTCGGGGCATTCACGCTGCTCCCGCTGATGCTTCCAGCGTCGCTGGCGCCGCTGCTGTTCAGGGACAATGGTTTTTGCGCCGCCGGTAGAATGATCTGAGGATACTGAACGAACAAGAAAGATTCAATGTTACGCAACGATCCAGCTAAGTTAATTATACAACGAAAACGGACGTACCGGTCGCGTTGTCGCTGTAACACGAACCCGATCTCTTCGATTATAAATTTAGACGTAATAACGTAATTGCTATGCAAATTGTTGGGTGAAAGTTAACGCTCGTTAACGAGACACGTCCGGTTCGAGATTCGCCCGGTTCGCTCGAGTGTTGCCAACGAAACGAAGAAAGTGAACGCGTTCTATTTGCTTTCTTTCAAGCTAAAACCAACAGTTTCGACTTACGGGAAAACGTAAGCGTACCTTGTGCTGCCATTCGAGCTGCCATTGCAGGAAGAGCTGCTGTTGCTGAAGGAGAAGCTCGTAGCTGGTCTCACCGGGAGGCGCCGAACCGAGACCGGAAGTGGTGGACGACACCGACGTCTTTTGCGCGTTTGGAGGGCCCTGGTAACAGCGATCGGTCAACATCAGTCGATATTAATCATTGTTACCCTGATTAACTTAAAAATGGGCTTGGTATCCTCTGTGTCTTTAGATTAACAACTTAATCACGAAATAATTGTAAACGCGATACATTGTCTAAGATCCTTGGTACAATAAATTATTTCCTGAAAACACCGGATGTGCAATTAATCCCTTCCCACGAGATTGATAGCAATTTTCTTCTCGTATAAAATACCGCAAAAAGAAAGTCAAAAAATTGTCGCAGAAGTAATTGAACCGGAACGTTTCTGTCGGTCTACGAACGAGTAAAATTCCAAGTATTTTGTTGGCGGTAACGCATCGTCGAGAAGAACCGAGGCAAAAATCGAGTTACCAGCGGTCCGTGGAAGAGGAGATCGGCAACGTAGTAGAAGAGAAGAGGGCGCGAGTGATAAATGATACATCAAGATGTTTTCTGCGCCCTCATTTGCACGCCCATTCCCGGTTCGCTTTCACACCGGCCACGCCATATCCCGAATGTTTCGGGAGCGTGGCCGGGGCCCTTGCCACCTATCTTCCCCTTCCCGCTTTGGATCAACCCGCCACGCCGCGCCGCGTCGCGCCGACTTCGTGGACCCGCTTCGAACCGCTTCGTTTTCTTCACCGCTCCTTGGCTTCCTCGCTCTTAGCTGCAATTAGCGCTCGAATTACTCAGAGCTAACGAGGTGGGCCCCGGGCCCGAGGGCCCTTCGAGAGATCGCGAGAGTTAATCACCCGATACGATCTTCTTCTCCGCGCTTCTCTCTTGTTTCGAGACGGATAAAGAGGAACGGAGAAACGGAGATCGCTTCCTCGCGGGCTACGGGAGCCGGAGATTTACCGGCCTGCTATATACCGGGTGTTTATAAATTTTCTTCGAGGTATCAATACTCATCCGATACCTTCTGCAATTATTGAAAAGAACTTGCTACTTTTTTCTTGTATCATTTATTATTTAAAAGTATCTGAAGAGGCTGAAATTTATAGACACCCCTGTATATTTCTTTTTATTCCCTTTCTGCTTCTTCTGCATTTCCTCTTTTTTCCCCGTGCTTTTATTCTATCCTTCTTTTTTCTCTGTTCAGCCGTTCTGGTCTTCTTTCATTTCTCTTTGCCCTTTTTATCGTACCGCGAGCTTTTTGCTCGTCTCCTTTTTTCGCTTTGTCTCTGCTCCCTTTTTCGAACCATCTCAGGTTTTGTTTCTTTTCTTCCACCCTCAGCTCCGAGCTCCTTTTCTCCACGTTTTCTCCCACATCTTCCTCGATATCTCACGAATCCTTGGCCCCGTCTCTCCGAGAAATCGCCACCAATCGGTAGCCGATACACGACAATTATCTTGCGCCATTGGGTAAAGGCAAGGTTCGATGTATCCTCGATTTTGACTCGCAAATAAAACCGCTTTATACGAAGGAGAGTCGTAAACGGTTGTTACGTACGATATTTTTTTTTTCTTTTTTTTTTCATCACTTTCGCGCGGTCCGGCTCCGCGTTTAAGTAATATATTTGCACCTTACGGACCGTAAAAACCGCGTGTTCACGCCCACCAGCCAGAAATATAAACAGAATCGAGAGTGAAAGTAGTAAACGTGGCATCGAGTCTTGTTCCATTCGACGTGTAAAACCGTCGGGTTACATCGGTTACGTAGCGTTCGCGATACGAAGGGGGTGAAAGCCATAATGGTGTAAATCATGTTGTTTTTTTTTTTCTTTTAAATATTCATTCGCGTGCTTAGACACAATTTATACGTGTCTGTTCATTGTAAGAAAAAGTGGTACAGGTTGTATGTCTGCTCGTATTTCAACGAATAGCAGAACCAGCCGAATATATGAACATATGGTTAACACCTTAATTACAGGTAGCAGGTGAAAACTAATGAACGAAAGCATAGGAAGAACTTACTTTGTACTCGTGGAACTTGATGGTACGCGTTTTCGGTTGACTTTTGGTCTTCGACTTCTTCCTGTTCTTATCCTTGCCAGGAGCATCGGTCCTTTGACACGCGGACGCTGCTATGGGGCTAGGCTGTGGTCTCGGTGTGATGGCAGCCGGCGGTGGTGCCGGTGGCGACGCTATCGAGATATTGGAAAGGGGGCTCAGGCTGGACGTGGTCGAGCCCAAGGACATCGGACTGGGCGCCGGCGCCAGTGGAAGGAGGGTCGTCGATGGACCGTTTGTCTGACTCGCCTGTTAACAGAGATCGTTGCTTTTTTCATCCTCGCAATTCTCCGATTAATCGACGTACATACATCGTTGCTCCGTCAATTTACGATCGTTCTTTAACGTTCGACGTAAATCTATTTTTGCAACGCGTTCCAAACTTTCTTTCTCCCCCGTACGTTTTTCCCAGCCGTGCCCGTTATCGTTCGTCTTACACGGTGATCGATAAATCAAGTTTCTTCTAGGTAGATAAATTCACGCAGCCCTCACCTGCGTCGATGCATGCTGTTGGTTGTGTTGAGCCTGCTGCTGCGACTGTTGCTGCTGTTGCTGAGAACCGACCACGGTGTTGCACAATTCCGCGAACGTCTGTATCGTCGACTCGCCGGACGCTTGCTGGAACACCGGTGACGTGGAGGAGACGACCACCGCACCGCCGGTCGTTGGAATACTAAGAGAAACAGTCACTATGCCCGCAGAGGCAGCCGCCGTTTCCAGAACGTCCGACCTGGACTCCAGCTGCGGGGAGGGTGCACCCTCGGAACTTTGAGAGTCGTCCTCGAAGGTGATGTAATGGTCCGGGTGTTGAGGCTTGGTTACCTGGCCTTCGCAGGTCGCCTTGAAGGGAATGTGACCCTCTGGAAATGAAAAATTTATCAAAATTTTTAACAGTTCAAACGCGTTGCTTCGGAAATACATTGCTCCTTGCTGGTAGCCTCGAAGGATTCGTGCGATTTTCAAGACCGAAACGAACTAACGTCATGCATCCTGGTGGAAGGCAATTTTTAACGCGTTAACAACGTTCTTTTTACGCCCATCCAGAGAGATATCGATCAAGATCGCAAAAGACAGAAGAGTACTGATGCATGGACTCACCTTTGACCGCCCTTTCAATGGGCTCCTCCGTGTGCAGAATATTCTTCTGGATGAGCTCGAGCGGTCCGGGTCGATGACTGAGTTGATCGTTCAGCTGGTCGGCTAACCTGGCCTTCTTCAGCATACGTTGCCTCTCGGCCAGGCTCGGATCCACGTGACCCACATCCTCAAGGATGTGCTGCCTAACCAGCTCTTCCCTGCCTGGTCTCTGCTGAATTTTCGCCTTCAACAGGTCACCAGTTTTCGCTCGTTCCAACTGTTTACGCTGCTCGTGGAACGCCGGCGGTGTCTTCAGGGCTGAAACATCAATCGATATTCCTTAATTTCCTGTTGAAATCACGAACCGGCTGTTACGTACACACGTTCGACGTGCCGCGAGATATATTTCGATCAAGATACGCAAGTAATTCGCGAAGTTTAATCTGATACCGGAAATTAGGTATAAATTTACGGGAATTTGTTCGTCGAGTACCGGAAACCTTGTATAAACTATCTACGCACCCAGGAATCGTTTTCACGAATGTTTGAAGGTTAGAAGGAATTTTGTTTAACATTCTATCACTCAGCTATTCGAAATACGTGATGTCTCTGATATAGTCTAAAGTTAACGTATAATTTTAGCCATAATTTGCACTAACATTGTGCTAACTTCTCTAAAAGAAAAGGGCGAAATACCAACTTCGCTGCTTCTTCAAACTTAAACTCTCTCTTTCTCTGAAATTAAAATCTGGAGGAGTACGTTGGAGACTTTATCTGTCGCGATGGGGATACTTTTAAATCAAACAGCAAGGAACGCGACCACTTTCATGAAGCTTTCCATGAGCGCATCAATAGCGAAAAGTGAAATGGATGCACGCTGGCAAAGGGCGATTCGATCTAAGAAAAGAACGTCCGAATGAGAAAAAGCTGTTTTTGAAGCTTTTAGGGGTGTCCTAAGGCGCATACTGCACGCATCAATTTCCGGGATGACGGGCCACCGAAGGTCTGCCCGCGTGGCGCCATTTCGGTGTCAACGTCAAACGACTCGTTGCATTCCTCGACACCATTAAGTCCCCGGATAAATGATCCTCGAACACCGTTTTCACTAACACGATCCACCTATTTCCGGACGGGTATCGCGGCGACGAATAAAGGGCTGTTCTCTGTCACGAACGATCGCGACGATGGAAACGTGGAAAACGTGCCTTTCCCTGGGACATGATCGAATAAATTTTCCCTCACCTTCGTTTCTGTAACTATGGTGTTAAGCACCGGTGTGATGAATCGACGAGCGTTAGAATAACGATCATTTTAATGGGATGCTCGTTAAAGAGAAATTACAGGGTGGACGTTCTCGTGGCGCGTACACAGTTTATGACTTTCATAAAGGAAATAATTGCTTGGACGAGGAAAATTGTGGTTATTCAAGTTCTATGCGAAGAAGAAGAACTTGAATCCCAGTTCTAAAATTCACCGTTGACCTCCAGAATATCGAGCATGATTGACAGATCTAGAATTCAGTTTTGGTCCGGGCGAGACGTGTACGAATCGGTCTGGGTCGACGGTGCTCGTTAACGACGCGGAAAGCGGTGAATTACGAATCCGAAAGCGCAGCGAAACAGAAGGGGAGAACGGTGAACGTGGCACTGGCATCTAGCGTAGGAAATTCTAAAATTAAACAACCGATTCGATTCAATTAGGCCTTTCGAACGTCGCCGAGGTGGTTCGCGCCGAGGCTTTTGTCTCACCCACGCGTACAGAGCCGCTCGTAATACACCGTGTGCGCGTGTGTGTGTGTGTGTTTCGCGAGAGCCAGCTGCGACCCAATTGTCTAGTTTCTATCGAAACGCACATAAATCCTGCGGCTCGCGATGAACGTGTACATGGTAGAGAAAGAGGTATACGTACAGGGAACGATCATAAAAATAAATGATGCCTATATCTAGAGACCGGCTACCAATCACTCTGAATCACTCGGTGTATTTGTTTACCTCTCTTATTTATTTATGAGTACCTTTTATAGTTTCGCTTGTCGAGGAAATGGTGGTCGAGTAACGTTAAAAAATGTCGGATTTCAATTTATTAATTCGTCCTAACACGAAAACCTGTCGCTTACTCATTCGTTTATTTAAACGTACGCAACTTTCGGTACTCGCTAATGGGTTAAGAATGTTGAATTTAGACCAAGAAGCTGTTAGCAGCCGAGAAGCAACAGATAAATCTAGATTGTAGGAAGTTATCGAATGCCCATCACTATATCCAGCTTGGAAACAGGGATTTCGTGCGATAAATTCCCGCCGAGCATACTGGCACACAGTTTTATTGCGTCCATTCGAACGACGCTCGTCGTTCGATGCGTCTCGATATTCGAGTTTCTCGAGTTCGAGACTAGTTCGACGATATTTACGCGAAATTGCTGGCAATTACTTTGCCCGTGATACGGCCTCGATGGTGTCTCGGTTCTCCTGCAAATGGAACGAAATCGGCTGCGATGTACGAGTATTAACGCGCGATTTTGATAAAGGATAGATTATCGTTTATTTTCAGGGCAAATTTCAGAAAATTTATTTACCGAATTATGTTACCGAGTTCGACGATGAAGATTAGAAAACCAAAACTAGCCAACGCGTTTCAGCTGTCCGCGTCGATCATCAGCCTCTCGAGTCGAAGCGTAAAGGAAAACAGGAGTGTTAAATCATTTGCAATTGGAGGATGGACGGGCGAGCAGTCATAACCAGGCGATCGCGATTCTGAATTTACGAGCTGCAATCGAACAGCTCCTCATCGTCCTTGCGTCGTCGACTCCGAAGCAGCTACGGCGTCGTTAGTTCGGGCCAATAAACGTCTCGGTTCGTTGGAGTACGATCAAGTTTTCGAGAATAAAACTTGACTGCCTAGCAATCCTACCACCGACGATTGACAAGTTGACGAAGAACCGTTCAATTTTCGAGCGATCGCGAAAATATTTCCAACCTTCGCTCCCGTTAAAACCCTCGCCTTCGTTGTATCTCATCGATTCCCCGCAGTGTACCCGTTGCATCGCGTTTAGATTCCTCCGTCTCGGTATCGTTGTTTCGTTTCGTTTCGTTTCTTAGGAAACAGACTCGAGCGATTCAGCGCCGCGTGGGCGATCTGGTATTATATAATAAACGCACGTCCGGAAAACTTCGAATCGCTACAACGACGAAGACCAGCAGCTGTGCGGATCGTTTCAACGGTTTGGCATTGTTCAACGCTCGAAGAACGCGATACGATGTTTTGCAGCGATTGTACAGAGCCCGTTTCACTCTTGGTGTATAAATTTATTCCCTTTCGACGGCATTGGAACGGACTAAAGATAATTCAGCAACGTTTCAAACGCGTCGGATCGGCGGATTCGACGGTTCGAATTACGCGGAGAATAAAAGTAGCAAGGTTGTTAAAATTTTGAGGGTAATTTCGCGACTGTAAATGAATCGCGCGCCGTAAACAGATTTACAACGCGATTGTGATCCGGTTCGCCGAAAAAACCATAACCCCGTGGTACCGTTCCCGATATCCTCCAGTTCTGGAAGCCGTAAACGAAACGAAAACCCTTTCGAACGAAATTGCACGTGCCGTTTCGCGTAAACGCCGGACGAAACGGTGGCCATCAAGCGTCATAACGCCGTCTGTTTTCGATGTTATAAGCCCGGCCAATTCGATACGCGAACACGCAATCCTGACGGATTATTGTTAATAACATTGGCGTTAACAGTTCGATGGAGTCACGTTCGTGAAATTATACCTGGAGTATTATAGGTGAAATCGGTGTTTGATGGATCCAGTCGGATTACCGAGGCGAGAAGTAACGAATTTCAATCAGCGCTATAAATTCTAGTCGAATTATCGGCTTAACAGATTATCAGCTTAACAACACTCGTTTATCAAGCGGTCAAACGATAGCGGAAAATTGATAGCTTGTTGGATTTTACGCTTACAACGACTTAACCCTTCCCTTCTGGAAGGATTCAAAGCGAAGATGTGTATTTTAATTTATCTTGAAAAAATACGACCAGCAGCTTCGTTTTAACGGAAGAAACATTGACACACGATTATCGGCCAATTGGACGACGTTTACACGCGAGCATGTCAATTTAAGGTACTTTAGGAAGTTCGTTCGTGCGAGTCCCAGTTACTTCCTTTTACGCCGTTGGTCGAGCCATCACGGGCAATCGCGAGGTAATTAAGTTGTAAGTGGATTAATCGGTCGTTCCCGCGGTAGGGAAGAAAAAAAAAAGAAAAACGTCACACGCTGACGAACTCGTTCAATCTAACTCCAAACCCTGGGGGGGTCGAGTAAATAAATTTGTCGCAAGCCATGTGACCGAGATCGTTCCTTTTGCTGGTACCAACCAGTCCTCCGCCTTTTTTGTTCCTCCTTATTACAGGTCACTCTCTAAACATCTAATTGAATTTACGCGGAGCGCCGTTCAACTATTGCTCCATTTATTGACATGTTATCGAGCGATCACAAAATTGTTATTAAAAAGAAGATACTTACGCGGCATGATGCCTTGCGCAACTAGTTGATTGATGGGTCGCCTCAGCATAAGCTTCACCTTCAACGCTGCAACAGAAAAAAAAGGGCATTTTATAATCCATTCACGTGTTGAAAAAATAATTTGTATAAAATGAAATTAAAATTGCTGCTCTCTACATGGTCCACCGTCTGAGGGTTAATCAGAAGAGCGACGCTGAAAAATCTTTAGGACATTGAACTTTAACTGAGCGGCTGAGGGGGTGGTTGGTTCAGCGGATTTCCGCGGAACAGCCGCGTAATCTCACCCGAGATTTCTTTCGACGTTCTATAAAAATCGTTGAAAAAACGGGATGATCAAAGTCGATCGGTGGTGGCCACATACGAAGGGCTTTCTCGCTAAGCCGATATTTTCTTTCCGTACGTCGGATAAGCTGTTCCATATGGCGCGAGGATTCGGTCGGTGGGGTCGCACGACAGCCAGAGAAACGGGCCAGAAAAAAAGTCAGCTCGGTGAGATGTAAAAAGATCGAGCCTCGACTTCTTCTTTCCCTCGTTTTAATTGGACCACCGCACGCGCTTCCTTTTCTCCGAGCAATTTTGGGCCCGATAATTAAATAGTAGCGCGGTACGCACGGTTTCATTTTTATTATCCTGGTATCGCGCTACTAATCTGGTAGTTCTAGTATTTTATAACGTTTCGAGTAGAGTTTGCATGATTCTTCGAGTTCGATTCGTTCGAGTTCATCGACCAAGGGTCTAATTAAGGGCGAACCGATCGTGATTCGGGAATCTGGAGGAGCCGCGGGGTTCGCAGATCAAAGGTCGACGAGAGAGCACGAGGCGGAGAGAGTCCTGGCGACGTGTAGCGACGGTGTGGCGTGGATCGCGGGACCAGCTACAAATTAACACACAAAGGACCCCCGGTTATAAATACGCGGAGGAAGCACGGGCCAGATTGCATAAATTGCCGGCGAAAGAGGAACAAAACCGCGGGCCGCATGGCCGCGCAATCTGAATTCAAAGCAGCCGTGTCCCGGAGAAAAATGTCTACCCCTTTCGGTTTATTGGCCGCGACTCAGCTCGCTGCATCCGCTGCACCAGGGGATCCCTCCTGGCCAGTTTTTTCCTCGATCGAGAGCGAATGTGACTTGGACGTACTTGCTGGGAATAATCGGCCGTTTACGGCCTCCGCCTTCTTCCTATCTTCTACCCTCGTTCCTTCCCCCTTCGCGGTTTCGTCTGACGCGTTTGAATCGTTTCGGACTTCCTTAGAAGCTTTGAAAATCTTGCAGCCTCTTCGTCGCACGTTTTTGTATAATTACAATTTTTTCCTGTAAAAATGCATCATGCGTTTCTGGTTATTAATCCATCAAAGATATCAACGATTTCCAGCGTGATGCGTACAAATTTATAACGACGGATCCGCGGTAATTAAGGCGCAACCGATGACACAGCATTCGGTGAGAAAAAATATCGTCCCGATGTAACAGCTCCGCCGGCGATAATCCTATCGCTTAACGAGCATTCCTGATCGTATCCTCGCTATCGATCCTGACAATCACGCGTGGAACGCGCGTAACTATGCGCGCGGTTGCATATTTCTCTTGGTGGCCGAGAAATTCGCGGGACAACTGTCGCTTCGAGCGCGAGCGCATTCCTCGGAGCTCGAGATTGACGGATCCTTATCGATTAAAATCATTCTTTATTCGAGCAACGACCAGTCGCTCCATAAAATGATTTCGACCTTTGCAAAATAATCAAAAGGATCGTCGAGGGGAAACAGAAAGAAGGGTAGATAGAAGCCGCGGAACTGGGACGGCAGCAAGGGTATCATGGTCCACAGATGACAAATGGTAACGACCAAAACGGCTACTAGTCGCAAGTGCCAAAATACACAGCGTCAAATACCGAGCCAACGTTTCTTGTATCGTTATATGGGCACAGTTGTTTCTAATTCGGTATCGTGTTTCGTTTGAACTCCGCGTAAGTGATCGTTGAGAAAGTCAGGTCCGCATTCTTACGTCTCTTAATTAACATCACCGGGGGTGAATTGTAAATTGCCAGCAACGATGCAAATGTTGAGGTGAAAATCGAGGTGAAAATCGTGGAAAAATCTAGGGTTCCTTCTGATGCACCACGCCTTTGGACGCAACAGGCGAAACAGTGGATGAAATATCGCGCGAGGTCATCGGGAGTCAGAAAAACGAGGAGTACGCGATTGCTCGGGGTAAGACGGACGTTAACGAGCAGATGGACAAGGCGGAGGTGGACAGGCAGCGAACGATATCCTGAACGAAATGGTAGGACAGCTCGGCCGGTGTGACGGTGCACGTGCATAGCTGTCCCATGTACCTGGTGGCTCGACAGCTCGCGACTCCGTGGCTCGTGGCCGAGTGTCAGGGTGGCACGCGGATTCCTGCAATGTTTCGCATTTCTTCGAGATTTCATCGTTGTTCTCCGCGGAAAAGAATGAGCCAGCCAACGGTGCTTGACATAACTGAACCCTGACTTGTTTCATTTCACTTCGTAAAAATTTTAATCGAAATTAATTAAATAAGCAGATTAGAGTCTGTTTTGTTTCTAAGAAACGAAGTGTGCTAGACAGCGTTTTAATTTTAATTTTGCGCGATGATTCGCCGAATAGTCGAACGGGAACGTTAAATAGACGTTCAGAAGTTTATTTACAACGTCCGGCGGAACGATCGGCCATCGGCGAGCCACGCTGGCGTAAACGGCGTCGGTCTGTGGGGATTCACTTGGCAGGAATGCACCACACGCGAATTTGCATTCTATGCATTGCGTAAATGCTTATGGAGTGTAGCTCCCGTAACTCTGTGCAGCCTCGAACCCCCGCGAAACTCGCAATTAACACGGCAGGCCCGCAGGAATCCGCGGAATCCTTAGCGAAATTAGAAAAACGACACCTTTCGATCCACCTCGGACCAGTTCCCGTTATTTCATAGATTTCATTCGCAAAATTATAATTGATATTAATTACATCGGTATTCAAGATTTATCGGATGAAAAATCTTCACGATACCGATTAACAGACGGTGTAATATTTCGCGATGGACGAGCGGCGTTTTTGAGATTGAAAACAACGTCCCTGAAAGCCGCCGAGGCCCGGAGCGACTTGGCCAAATACGTCTCTCTCGGTATCGAACCAGGGAGAAAGATTACGATCATTAAGCGCGTCATTACGAGACGTAAATTAGAGTGGTTAAGAGTAATTACGCTGACACAGCTGTCGATCGGAGTCAAACTTTCTGCCAGGGAATTAATTCGAACTGTCGCACAAATTGTTCGCCTGCTCGATGAAATTCCTTTTTTTTTCACGATCAATAACGAAAGTTTGTTGTCTCGTCAAACTTGTAATTGGGATAAGTACTCTTTACTCTATTAATTATTGTTAATTATTCTAATTATTGTATAAATGTAAAGCAAGGGAACGAAGATGGGGAGGTAAAGAATTCTACGATAAGTACTCTAATTACTCCACTCTACCAGTCACTGTTAATTATTTCAATTAGCATAAAAATGCAGAAGGAGAGGAAGATACTTTTGATATTTTTTTTTCCAAAGGAACAGTGTATCATTCTCAGGATGTATACGTATGCATCCAAAGTGTCTATGTGATCTTGGTCGAATTTAGTCGTTTACCAAGATATCTTTAGTACGACGGAAACGGAAATCTCCTCGAAACAGTTTAATCCGCAGAAAAGAAGTTTTTCGAATCCCCACGGAGACGTTTCACAAAGTTGTCGTTGCTTTTACGACCTATTCGTTCTACGACTGGCTTGTTTTACGACAGCAGGAGATAAATCAAACCAGCAGGAATTCTAAGCTCGGCGTTAAAGTGTTAAGGAGTTCCGGAAGAGCCGCGGATCTTCTCCTTTTTCCCTTTCCACCGATCCCATAAATATACGCGGTTCGTCCGCTCCCGTTTTGACCCCAATTTTCGAGTACGTCCCTCGACGATTAATCTTACAAATCGCCAACCACCACGGTCCGTTGCCTTTTCACGGGAACCGTGAAAAACCGGCTACGAACAGCGACAGTTTTACGGGTCATCGAAAGCAGTCGTAACATGAACAGGCATTCCCGTCTCGACGAACAAAAATATATTTATCTCGTGCATGGAAAAGTTCAGACCAGCGGAATTTATCGTTCCAATAAATTGCAAGCAGCTCACAGATTTTGCTTCTTTGAGCGCAAACTATTATGCAGTTTTGCGTTTTGTGGTACTTTTTCTTCATTCATTATTTAAATATTTCAAATCTGTGGCGTTGAATGCCAGGAACTTGCAGAGCAATTAATATTCGGACGGCGGACCATGGAGAGACTCCGCTGTACAAGGGTTAAGCCTCGCGCTTGATGCAAAATCGCGTTAACAAATGTTCGATAGAGTTCAGAATAAATAAATTCTTTGTAAATTTCTTGAAATTTCCAAGCGACACTTACACGGGACACTCCGAGTAATAAATCATAACTGCAGCGTGTGACCAATCGAAAGACCTTACTGATTCCCTGAACAGCATGACGGAAGTCGAGCAAGCGAGCGGCGAGAATGAGAAAAGAGAAACACGGCGAGCAGTCCAAGGCACACTTAAGTCGGCCAGAATCGCGGGGGTGATCCAATAATACGGCGGCTTTGGGTATAAATAAAGCCTCTCTAGGCCCGGAGATCACGAAGAGAGAAGTCTTGTCTCTTGTCTCGGTTTCTTCTATCCGCTTTACCGTCGTTCCTCGCAAAATAGAGCTGGTTTGTAGTCGAATCTCTCTTCCAAGAATCACGAAATCAATTCTATTTCGCGTCGAGTATTTCGATTCCATTATTTATATTCCCTCTTACTCGTGACACTGACTTTTTCCAGAATAGAAAACTTCGACTCCGATAACTTGTTCGAAAAACAACGTAAACGGGGGCACGTTCGGTGGCAAAGAACGACGTTCCTCTAATCAATCATTGGGAGACAGAAGGACGCGACGCGTTGTGCTTCACGATCGAACGGTTTTTCTTTTCCTCAGGCTGTAAATAATTTAGGATGAGAAAAACAATCTCTAAATTGTTCGAGATAATTTTGGGA